CTGAACCAGGACTAAACCAGGGCTGAACCAGGACTAATCCAGGACTGAACCAGGACTAAACCAGGACTGAACCAGGACTGAACCAGGACTAATCCAGGACTGAACCAGGACTGAACCAGGACTGAACCAGGACTAAACCAGGACTAAACCAGGACTAAACCAGGACTAAACCAGGACTAAACCAGGACTAATCCAGGACTTGAACCAGGACTGAACCAGGACTGAACCAGGACTAAACCAGGACTAAACCAGGACTAAACCAGGACTGAACCAGGACTGAACCAGGACTGAACCAGGACTAAATCAGGACTAAAGCAGGACTAAACCAGGACTAAACCAGGACTGGACCAGGGCTGAGACCGGTTTAGTCCTGGTTTGGACCTGGTTTAGTCCTGGTCCAGCACTGGTTTAGTCCTGGTTTAGACCTGGTTTAGATCTGGTTTAGTTCTGGTTCAGTCCTGGTTTAGTCCTGGTTTAGTCCTGGTTTAGTCCTGGTTTAGTCCTGGTTCAGTCTGGTTAGTCCTGGTTCAGTCCTGGTTAGTCCTGGTAGTCCTGGTTCAGTCCTGGTTCAGTCCTGGTTCAGTTGGTTTAGTCTGGTTCAGTCCTGGATTAGTCCTGGTTTAGTCCTGGTTTAGTCCTGGTTCAGTCCTGGATTAGTCCTGGTTTAGTCCTGGTTCAGTCCTGGTTCAGTCCTGGTTTAGTCCTGGTCCAGCACTGGATTAGTCCTGGTTCAGTCCTGGTTCAGTCCTGGCATCGCAATTTAAGTCACGGAAATTTTAAATTTAAACACAAAATCGAAAACTAAAAAAAAAATAAAAATCATTAACTGTTTTACCATTGTCTTATTTTTAGTTTTATTTTGAAAGATGAATGAACGAATGATACACGGATTGTGTTTTGTTTCATTCACATGTTTGAGTAACTCTTTATTATTCGTCTGTCTTCATCTCCAAAACTCAAAACGCTCTGTTCCACCTTGTGACGTCATGAAGTGGTGGTTTTCAGCAGCTCCTTTTACTTTTAGTTCAGTACAGATTTTCAATGATTCAAATGATCCTAGTGAAGGTTTGTGGAGTTTAAAAACACAGTGGAGTTCACATACGTCCTGTTTTAATCATAGTTCTGGTTTAACAAAAGCATAAAAAGTTAAAGGTTGTACAGAGGATTTTCCAAGGAACGAGAATCCAGCGACTATTTGTCCTTTTTCAAACTACAGCTCCTACGTAGAAACGCCTCCTCCCTCCTCCTCCTTACGCCAGAAACAGGTTTGTTTACAGCCGCTGCACATGACTTGTAAACAACTAACTACAGTGTTGGTTAGACAAGACGGAGAAGTGAGGAGCAGGGGAAGAAGAATCAAATTTCAGAATCAGAATCAGAATCAAATTTATTTGTCATTCCAGTATAAAAATACACAGAAACGAAACAATGCACTCAGGTCCAGGTCAACAGCAGCACAGATAACAATAAGAACAAATAGTTATAACAAGAATAAAATAGTTAAAAATATTGTATATCAACGCCCCCATTTTCTAAAGTGCGTTCCAAGTCAGTGCTGTTTTAGTAGTTTTTTTCTGACAGAATTATCTGTCTCACGCGGATAAAAACTGTTCGTAGTTCGTGTCCTGGCCTGTAGAATCTTCTGCCTGATGGGAGAGCTGTAAAAAGTTCATGTGCTGGATGGGTGGAGTCTTCCATGATGCTGTGGGCTTTTGTCCTGCACCTGCTGATGTAAATATTTCAATACAGCAGACGCGAAGAGCAGGGGAGCAGGAGACGCGGAGATTCAGTGTGAATGAACTAGCTACAACACGCAGCAGCAAGCGACTCTTTCTTTGCCTTGAAAATTACGTTTTCAGACATAGGATATCGCTTTCGTGTCCTGAAAAACGTTTGTGTAGCTCTTGGAAATAAAGTACGTTTTCATAATAAGCAGAAGTTTCCTGTCCAGGAGTAATTTGTGGACCAGTGCGTCAGTCTTTAGACTCTTCGTCTGCTTCAGTCGCGCCATCGCTGGAATGAATCTCCAAGAATCACCTTAGTTTGGCTTCGCTGCTTTTCCCCTTGTCTTCTTCTTTCAGCGACCTCAAAAACGGACTTTCTTTTGCGGCGAACTGCTCCTGGATTCTTGTCTGTCATTGCAACAAACTTTGTGTGAACTGTGAGGAAGATATAGGTCAAAAAAGGCCGCTAAGAACTGTTGCGTTGGTGGAGTAAACAGCGTCTGTGCGTCTTGCGTCTGTGGACTGTGTGACAGTCGTACGTAAACCACGTACCGGCGGCGCAGGCAAGTCAGTTACACTAGAAACGTAGGGAGTTTGATTGACAGCCTGTCAGCTCACAGATAACGAGGCAGTGTCGTTATCTATTGGCAAATGTTTAGCCCCACCACGTCCAGAGTTGATGAATTTTTATTCTTTTTTTTTTGGTCATCATAATTACAAGGCGACTGCATCTCTATAATCTATCACTGACAACTTGAAACAAAAAAAATCCTCCATACAACCTTTAAGTTACAGTGTTCTGGTTCTTCCTGAAGATAGTTTGTTCAAAGTTCCGGTTTAGTAAAAGTGTAAAATTCTGAGCAAACGTGTTGTGGTTCTTACCGACTTTGTAGTGGCCGCAGCCCTCCAGATCCCCCACAGAGCTCCAGCCCTGTCTCTTCTCCACCTCGGGGTCGTTATGGAGGATCTTATTCCTCAGCCAGGACAGGTAATACAGACGCAGCTTGTTCTTTTTACCTGCAGGACGCAGAGGATAATGTCAGGTTACAATAGTTCTGTTTTTAAGTCATCTTCAGCAGTAAAAAGTGAAATGAGAAGATTAAAAAGTAAATAAAACTCCACTAGAGAAGAGGGCTGTCACGTATTAATCGATACTAAAACCGTTGAAACTAGACACTGATTTGAGCAGCACTGATACTAAAAACTCCCATTCACAGGACAGAAATGTAAAATCAGCAGCTTCACATTGGGCATTTTTCCAAAGAAATTCGCTTCTCAATCTCTTAAGTGAAAACATACAATTGCTAGTAACAGTTAACTATGATATAAACGTCCGTTTTTCCCTGGACATGTCCGTATTTTGCGTCCTGTCCTGGGCGTCCGGGTTTTTTTTTTATAAAGTGATGCAAATGTCCGGGTTTTCAGTTGGGGCATTAAACTGAGCGTCTCTCGTAGCGTCTGTGACTCAGAAGGAGCGAGACACAAACAGTGGGTCAGTCTGTAACATACGGAAGCACAAATGTGGATTTAACAATGACTTGGACAAGAAATTCTCCGTTTTCCATCCCGGTCGGGACAAGTGTGAGTCCAAGTGCACAGGTTGAGATGAGAGGACAGTGTCCCTCGTTTATCGCGGGGGTTACGTTCTAAAAATAAGTATAAGTAGTCAACTTTATATTTTACAATTATTCTATCTGTTTTAAGTCTGTAAAACCTCAACACAAACTTTATACACTTTTCTCACACAGGACAGTTTCAACACTTTTTACTTCCTTCTTAAAACTTATTGCTGCTGTCGTCCTTTTGTTATTTTCCTCCTTCTTTATGTAACGAACTGAAGATTCATTTATTCCGTAATGGAGCCGACAGAGCAGAGTCCTGCACGGGTCCATTTTTGGAGACCCCCAGGACAGGACCGCACCTGCCAGGACAGGACCGCACCTGCCAACCTGACATTATATCAAACTTTTGCGCTGCCTACACCACGGACTGAACCAAGACTAAACCAGGACTAACCCAGGACTGATTCCAGGACTGAAGAGGAGGACTAATCCACGACTGAACCAGGACTAAACCAGGACTAAACCAGAACTGAAACAGGACTCAGTGTCAGGTCGGGCTCGGAGGTGACGCAGGAGAAAGGACCGGCTCAGCTCCGCACCTCACGGAGGTAAACGCGACAATTACCCGATCGCGCTTTGCGGACAAACTGCTCGGCGTTTTCTCTCTTAAGTCCAAGATTAGTCCTGGTTTAGACCTGGTTTAGTCCTGACCCGCCCGTGTGTAATTACTACCCGCCTGTAATATACAACATGCGTAAAAAAAAAAAAAAAAAAAATCTGAGAAATGGTGAAACCGCGAAAGGTGAACCGCGATATAGCGAGGGACGACTGTAGCTCAACGCCCCCCCCCCCAAAGGTGTCCGGGTTTTCACAAACGGAAATATGGTCACCCTAGTCTATGTAACTTTAATTTTTAACAGTTAACTGCTTGTTGATACAGATATAGAGTGTATTGTACTATAATGACGTTTCCTCATAAAAGGAAAAAAATAAAAATAAATAAAAATTCGGTTTGTTTTATTTTTAAGATGATATACACAAATAAAGCTGTTTCTGTCTTGAAATGTTTTGTACCTGAGATGCTTTGAGATGTTTCATACTGAAATGTTTCATACCTGAGATGTTTCGTACCTGAAATGTTTTGAGATTTTCCCTACCTGTTTAGTACCTGAGAAGTTTAGTACTGAGATGTTTACAGATGTTTCGTACCTGAGATGGTGATGAGCACGTTGAGTCCCTCCAGAACGTCCATCTGCTGAAACCTTCTTCTGCTGATCAGAGAGTAGACTTTCCCCTGTCCGCTCCTGTCCAAGAGCCACAGGCCGCTCTCTGTCCCCACCAGCAGGTTCACCCCTGCAATTACAACACAAAAAACAACATTTATGTTACTACGAAATCGTGTAGATTGTGCTTTTATGAACAGCTGTTTTTGCCATAATTCAAGTGTGCAACTTTCAGCTGCAAGTCTGCCTGCTCTGTGTGTATATTTACATAAAAGATTTGGGTTTAGAAGTTATTTTGTAATGAAGTCATTTCATTTGCAGCTCTGGAGAGATGATTGACAGCCGACCGACAGCCGCAACAATCCAACACGGTGTGGACCGGTGTGCTCCAGGGTTTGAAACTGCGGACATTTGTGGTCGGATCGCGCCGTTTCCCTTTTCTCCACATACGGCAGGACCTGGTGGTTACTGGCGGTGCCAGGTCGGGGCGGGCTGAGAGGGGCTCCTCATGTCCCGCCCGTAGACGCCAGTGTCTGCGCTCGTCACGTAATAACCTGTGTCTGACTCAACAGCGTCGTTAGTCCAACCTTGAAATTCAAATGTCCTGGACGTAGTTGATCCTAAAGAGACGTTTACAGACACGACTTTGACCCAAATCTCATTTTTATCAAATATTCACGGAAATACCAAAAAAAACAAGGCCAGGTATAGAGACACACTTGTATTTTAGACCCAATTACCCAGATCATCAGTAAAAAAGGTGATTTTGGTGCTTAGTGGCCCTTTACTCTAGCCAGACTGGCACCACCTAGAGCCTCCACTCAATTTCATTTCTCTCCAGTGACTAGGTCAGGAATCAGAATACACTGGACGGTTTGCAAGAACCCCGGAAGTTGTAGACGGCGCACCGGCCAATCAGCTGTGAGCTGTGAAGCCATGACATCAAACCCGTGGCGTCTGTCTGTGTCCCTTTTGTGGAACGGCACAACAGTAAACAAAGGGTCGAGATGGACGTAGACGAAGACAGACATTCTGTGTTGGCAACGATTCCCGAGATCGAGGATTTAAAGCTGGAACAAAGAGAATGTTTGATGAATTTTATCAAGGGGAAAGACGTTATTCTCCTTCTTCGTACAGGATTTGGGAAAAGCTTAATAAACCAGTTAGCCCCGTTAGCGGCACATTACAGACCAAATAGCAGCGACTGGTTAACCCATTGAGGCCGGATGCAGCGCAGCGCTGAGTCTCCTGTCGATGTTCCAGATTGTCTGACGATCAGCGTAACTGGTAAAGGCGGAGCCACACCTGGAAGCATGGGGGGCGTGTCCTCCTCTCGCTTCCATTCACTCCCATACAAACACAGTGTCCGTGTCTTCACTGTCATTGTCACTGTCAGCATTTTTGTGTTTGACCATGTTCATTTGTTACATGACATAGTGATATGGCACCTGTTATAGGAGCGTCTGGAACAGATCAAGTGTTTGAGCTGCGTTCATGCGCTGCAGTAAAGAGCAACGTTTGTTACTTCAAACCAGGTCTTGATGGGAACATGTTCGGGATCCATTTGGATTATTTTTCAATGGAGAAATAATACGCCACGATAAAGAAGGTTTAACGCGACAATACAGCTCCAGCAGTTTTGTGTCTTTCTCTGGGAGTGAATGGAAGCGAGAGGAGGACACGCCCCCCATGCTTCCAGGTGTGGCTCCGCCTTTACCAGTTACGCTGATCGTCAGACAATCCAGAACACTGACAGGAGACTCAGCGCTGCGCTGCATCCGGCGTCAATGGGTTAAATAATCAAAAGTGCCCGCCTACCGTCGAGCGAACGAATCTTAATGCTGCGAGGTCAGACGGTTTCCACGAAGTGAATCAGGCTAATCAAGTCCAGCTTCTAACTCTTTTGACCAGAGTCCATTGAGGGAATTATATTGGAGATGACAAACCTGGAGGGGAAGACGTGTGTTTTGGGACACTTGGAGACACACACATGCACACACACAAACACACAAACACACACATGCACACACACATGACACATGCACACACACATGCACACACACAAACACACACATGCACACATGCACACACACAAACACACACATGCACACACATGCACACACACAAACACACACATGCACACACACAAACACACACATGCACACACACACACACAACACACACATGCACACACACAAACACACACATGCACACACACACACACACACACACACACACACATGCACACACACAGCACACACACACATGCACACACACACACACAGCACACACACATGCACACATGCACACACACATGCACACACACACACACACACACACACACACACACACATGCACACACACATGCACACACACATGCACACACACAAACACACACATGCACACACACAACACACACAAACCTTCATGTTGAGTTTTCTCTTGGGTTTTTCATTTATTTTTTTACATTAAATGTTGATTTTGTGACATATTTTCAGTGTCTATTTGTATTTTCACTGTAGTTATGTCTAACTCTATAAATTCATGTTAAACACTACTTTGAGACATTGTTTACAGTTAAAGAATGTTGAATAAAAATTTCGTGGTAAAAAAAATTTTTTGTGCTAATTTAATAGCAGTTAAAACAGACTGGGAACACTAACGTAAGGGACGGGAGACGAACACGACCGGAGGGTTAATCCTCCATATGACACTATTCTCTCATGTCTGTTCGAATGTCGTTTCCTCATCACAAACAGACCTGGAGTTGTGTTTTGTTTCAGTGAGTGTGTACACATGCACATCAATAACCCGGTTATGATCCATATCCCGGTTCTGTCAGTATTTGTGTTACTGCGTTTACATGCGCACTGAGAAACAGGGACACTCATATCGGCCTGTACATGATCAAATGGAGTATCCCGGTTTCTTGACATAATCTTACAAATGCACAAGTGCAAAAATTAACTTAAATCAATTTAATAAACCAAGAAAAATACATAAGAAGCTAAGGAGCTACGAGATCTCCCACAATCCACTGCACACATCAAACCCAACAGATTCTTCATTAAAATCTTCTGCATAAATAAACTCAACTTTACAACATATAAACCAGAACCACTGTAGAGCCACATCAGCCCGTTTGATCAGATAATTCAGCTCTGATCACATTTGTTTACGTTTTACAGAAACTAAACTTAAAACCACATCGCTCATTTACATAAACTGTTAGCGATGATAAAAACAACTCGCTCCTTCAGATTCTTTTGGACTAAATGACATGACTCTGTGGATTATGTGTGTTCTTTTTGTGACAGAAGAGGTGCTGATGATGGTGAGTCTGTTCTGGGTGTATATCGTAGGAGATAGTTCATGTTTTAGTTTTTCAGCGATCACACGAGTGCAGGTTTAGCGCAGCTCTTGATTTTACACTCATTTTACTCGTGTGGTCACTTTATTTATGTCGGTGAATTTATTTATGTTGGTCAATTTATTTATGTCGCTAGTTGTGGTGAAAAGACTGGAAAGTGTCTTTTGGATGCATGTGCACTCAACTTTATGTCGCAGTAACGGGATACTGCGTGTACATGCCACAGTATCCCGGTTACTATCAGAATAAACCAGCTACAATAACCCGGTTTCTAATAACCAGGATACTGAAACTGCGTTTACATGCACCATGAAGAAACCGGGATACTGAAAAAACCCGATGATAACCGGGTTATTGATGTGCTGTAAACACACTCATTCGCACATCTTTAACACACAAAGCTCTGGAACTGCTTACGCGAACATGTGTAAATGAAACAAAACACAACTCCATGTCTGTTTTTGATGAAGTAACAGCATTAGAACATGACTTAAAGGTTGTATGGAGGATTTTTTTTGTTTCAAATTGTCAGTGATAGATTATAGAGATGCAGTCGCCTTGTAATTATGATGACCAAAAAAAAGAGAATAAAAATTCATCAACTCTGGACGTGGTGGGGCTAAACATTTGCCAATAGATAACGACACTGCCTCGTTATCTGTGAGCTGACAGGCTGTCAATCAAACTCCCTACGTTTCTAGTGTAACTGACTTGCCTGCGCCGCCGTTACGTGGTTTACGTACGACTGTCACGCAGTCCACAGACGCAAGACGCACAGACGCTGTTTACTCCACCAACGCAACAGTTCTTAGCGGCTTTTTTGACCTATATCTTCCTCGCAGTTCGCACAAAGTTTGTTGCAATGACAGACAAGAATCCAGGAGCAGTTCGCCGCAAAAGAAAGTCAGTTTTTGAGGTCGCTGAAAGAAGAAGACAAGGGGAAAAGCAGCGAAGCCAAACTAAGGTGATTCTTGGAGATTCATTCCAGCGATGGCGCGACTGAAGCAGACGAAGGGTCTAAAGACTGACGCACTGGTCCACAAATTACTCCTGGACAGGAAACTTCTGCTTATTATGAAAACGTACTTTATTTCCAAGAGCTACACAAACGTTTTTCAGGACACGAAAGCGATATCCTATGTCTGAAAACGTAATTTTCAAGGCAAAGAAAGAGTCCGCTTGCTGCTGCGTGTTGTAGCTAGTTCATTCGCACTGAATCTCCGCGCACCCTTCTCTGCACCCCTTTCCTGCTCCTTTCCCCGCTGCCCGTTCCGCTCTTCTCCCTGCTCCTCACTTCTCGTCCGTGCACGAAATGTCCGCACACCCCCTCCCCCGCTCCTCACTTCTCCGCCTTGCCTAACCAACACTGTAGTTAGTTGTTTACAAGTCATGTGCAGCGCACCGGCTGTAAACAAACCTGTTTCTGGCGTAAGGAGGAGGAGGGAGGAGGTGTTTCTACGTAGGAGCTGTAGGGGAGGGGAGGTGGTTTCACGCATGCGCAACATTTGAAAAAGGACAAACAGTCACTGGATTTCTCGTTCCTTGGAAAATCCTCTATACAACCTTTAAAGCTCACAAGAGTCATTCTGTGTAATATAGGACCTTTAAAAAAAATTATATTAAAGCTGTATAAATGTACTGACCCCATAATCCGGCACACAGGATCTCGGTGTTGAATTTCTTCTTGTATTTCCTGATTTCCGGCGTGTCACTCTGAGGTTTGGTATTCGTCGGGTTCACGTTGACGATGGAGCCTTTTCTGTGTCCCTCTCTCCTCACGCCCTCCCCTTTAACGCCCGCTGAAAAACAACACAAACATAAATGGACGACAAAAGGGCCGGGTCTGGTCAGTACTTGGTAAAAAAAAAGTCTCACAATAATCGTGGGCCGTGGAATTACGAGTGTCTTTGCTTAAATCAATTGTTTTGGTGCAGCTACAGCTAAAAAACAGAGAGAACTACACAGACCACGATCCGTTGCTCTGTCCAGTCCAATCTGCATGCTGAACTTACTGTTATTAAGCATTTTAAATCTTAATTATTTGGATTATGATGAGAGAAAAGTCGTAGATTCACAGTGTTGATAGGGTAAGGTCCAAAAATTTGTGAAGCCATAGATTGACGCTTTTTGCACCTTGTTCAACTTTTTAAATGCCTCAAATGTGAAATAAATCCACAGAGAGAGATCCAAGTGCAGTTAAAAACTCTTTACTGAGTGTTCACGTATAGTTGAGGACGTACAAATGTACAAAAAAGGGAATTTTTACAGGTAGAGTGCAACAGGAGGTCAAAAAAGCTGTTTGGCTCCACTCCACACTACCAAGATGCACCTGCACTCAGACCTGCAAACTCCTCAGAGGAAAAAAGGTGACAGTGAGTGCGTATACATGCACATCAATAACCCGGTTATTAGCCATATCCCGGTTATGTCAGTATTCGTGTTACTGCGTTTACATGTGCACTGAGAAACCGGGACACTCATATCCGCGTGTACATGATCAAATGGAGTATCCCGGTTTCTTGACATAATCTTACAAATGCGCAGGCGCAAAAATTAACTTAAATCAATTTCATAAACCAGGAAAAATATCAAACCGTGAGCTCCTTTAGCATAAGAAGCTAAGGAGCTACGAGATCTCCCACAATCCACTGCGCAGATTCTTCATTAAAATCTTCTGCATAAATAAACTCAACTTTACAACATATAAACCATAAACACTATAGACACATCAGCCCGTTTGATCAGATAATTCAGCTCTGATCACATTTGTTTACGTTTTACAGAAACGAAACTTAAGACCGTTTGGCTAATTAGCATAAACTGTTAGCGGCGATAAAAACAACTCGCTCCTTGCGCCGCTGATGTGATCAGTTTCTTTTGGACTAAATGACACGACTCTGTGGATTATGTGTGTTATTTCTGTGACAGAAGAGGCGCTAATGATGGTAAGTGTGTTCCGTGCGTATAGAGTATAGGAGATAGTTCATGTTTTAGCTTTTCAGCGTCACACGAGTGCAGGTCGTACGAGTGCAGATTGTACATGTGCAGGTTTAGCGCAGCTCTTAATTTTACAGTCATTTCACTCGTTTGGTCACTTTATTTATGTTGGTCAATTTATTTATGTCACTACTGTTGTGGTGAAAGGCTGGAAAGTGTCTTTTGGACGCATGCGACTCAACTTTATGTTGCAGTAACCGGGATACTGCGTTTACATGACACAAGTATCCCGGTTACTATCGGAATAAACCAGCTACAGTAACCCGGTTTCTAATAACCGGGATACTGCCATAACCGGGTTACTGAAACCGGGTTACTGAAACCGGGTTACTGCGTTTACATGCACCATCAAGAAACCGGGATACTCAAAAAACCCGATCATAACCGGGTTATTGATGTGCATGTAAACACACTCAGTGTCCGATGGGCGGTTTGGTTTAGTCCTGGTTTAGACCTGGTTCAGTCCTCCTGGTTTAGTCCTGGTTCAGTCCATATACGGCGCAGAAGTGCAGCAATAGTAATGTAATGCCTTACATTTTAAATGCAGTAATACTGGAATGAAACGAAATTACTTTGAAATGACAGTTACAAGTCATAAATAATGCATTACACTTTTTAACTGGGCACTTATTAACTTTGCTTTTCCACATGACACAGGAGCACGTTGAGCTGATGGTAAACGCACAAATACAACAATAGATACATACTCTCTGTGTGTCGTTAAATTTCTAGAACTTGGATGGGAAACTGTTGGGAGTACAGAGTCTTTAGTCTGTGGTGAGAGGTGCGTTTGGGATACTCACTGGGGCTGTGCGGAGGGGTGGAGATGTGGAGAAGTCTGGGGTCGATGAAGGACAGGAACGAAGAGGAAGAACCTGCACTCTGGATCTCCTGAGGGGGAAATACAGAAGAGAAAATAAAAGAATATGGTTAAATTACAGCAGTTTAACATGTTATTATGGGGAGGCACACAGAGGCTGGGAGGGCATCTGAGGTTCTCGTGTCACTCACGCCTTGGTCGCGGTGCGTCGGGGACCGTGTTGCCGTGGGAGACTGACAGTAGCTCATTCCTCTCTGCCCCGGGGCAATGTGGGTCGGGCTGGACGAGGTCTTCTGCAGGAGGTCAGGGAGCATGTAGGTGGGGTCGTCTGAGGTCACCCGGGGCATCTGAACCAAACGCAAAAGACGTATTATTATTATTATTATTATTATTATTATTATTATTATTATTATTCGGCCTGAGCACAATGACCACGCCCCTCTCCCAAATCGGAAATCTGCCATCTTGGATTTAAAAAAAAAATCAACACATACAGAAATTGAGAAAAAGGGGTGGGGTTAGGGTTGGTGTTAGGGCTAGGGTTGGGGCTAGAGTTGGAGCTACAGTTAGGGTTAGGGCTACAGTTAGAAGTTCAGGTAGGTTTAGGGGTTAGTGTTAATTTAGGAGTTAGGTCAACGGGTAAGGTGCATTCGTGGGGCACAGCACGTGCAGGGCTCAACGTGGCCAGGGTGCGGCGTGGCGTAGGCGTGGCGTAGGCTCGAGCGAGGGCCGATCATCGCCGCTTGCGGCTATATTGTTGAGTTTTGGTCTTTGCTTTTCCATTTCCACTGATGCTTTACACAGGATGTTATCTCAAAAATGGTGAAAATAACCCTTTAACGCTTCTGAAAAGTACAGATACATGTTATGCTTTGCCTTTGAACTAAACTTTACTGGACACAATTATTATTATTAGTATTAGTATTAGTATTAGTAGTAGTAGTAGTAGTAGTAGTAGTAGTAGTGGTAGTGGTAGTAGTAGTAGTAGTAGTAGTAGTAGTGGTAGTAGTAGTAGTAGTAGTAGTAGTAGTAGTAGTAGTAGTAGTAGTAGTAATAGTAGTAGTAGTAGTAGTAGTAGTAGTGGTAGTAGTAGTAGTAGTAGTAGTAGTGGTAGTAGTAGTAGTAGTAGTAGTAGTAGTAGTAGTAGTAGTACACCAACAGAACAACAGTGCCCTCTGCTGGAGGATCTGTAACTTGAGAATTTATTTTTACTTTAGTTTGATTTATAAAAACTAGGACTGGGCAAAAAAAAAATAATAATAATAATCATAATAATCGCATTAATCGGATGACTTTGAGTTATGCGCAGGATCATATCACAAAATCTCCAGTTTATTTGTATTTATTTACTTATTTTTCTTATTTTTTCATCTTATTATGATAATTTTTTAAAATCATTTTTAGCTTTATGCATTTTAACACTTTATTTATTGTTTTTACTGTGAACATGTGATCAAACTGCAGTGTACCAACAGAACAACAGCGCCCTCTACTGGAGGATCTGTAACTTGAGAATTTTGTTTTATTTTATTTTTATTTCATTTTTATTTATTTATTTTTCTTATTTTTTCATCTTATTATTATTATTTTTTTAAAATCATTTTTAGCTTTAAGCATTTTAACACTTTTTATTTATTGTTTTTATGTGAACATGTGATCAAATTGCAGTGTACCAACAGAACAACAGCGCCCTCTACTGGAGGATCTGTAACTTGAGAATTTTGTTTTATTTTTATTTTTATTTCATTTTTTTAAAATTTTTCTTATTTTTTCATCTTATTATTATTATTTTTTTTAAATCATTTTTAGCTTTATGCATTTTAACACTTTTTATTTATTGTTTTTACTGTGAACATGTGATCAAACTGCAGTGTACCAACAGAACAACAGCGCCCTCTACTGGAGGATCTGTAACTTGAGAATTTAGTTTTACTTTAGTTTGATTTATAAAAACTAGGACTGGGCAAAAAAAAAAAAATAATAATAATCATAATAATCGCATTAATCGGATGAGTTTGAGTTATGCGCAGGATCATATCACGAAATCTCCAGTGTCTTCGCGAAATACCCTGTAATAGCAAATATAAGAGAGACCGCAGCGACGAAAACCGCACTGGACACCTCTATTTGGACGCTTCAGGGGTGTCTGGAAGAAGGAGAAGACAGAGAAAGACCCGTGGACCCGGTCGGAGCTAGGAGCCCGCCTAGGCTCGGACACACAGCATCTCACGTGGTCAGAAAAAAGTGAAAAGAAAAGACGTCAAACTGAAAAGAAACGCTTGCGGTGGACTTTTTTCAAAATAAAAGCCCGTGAGCAACAGACGTTCACAATAAAAATAAACAAATAAATAATAAAAACTGCGTTAACAGTGTTAAAATAATTGTCGGTGATAATGAATGAATTAGTTAACGCAAAATTAACACACAAACAAAAAATTATATAATTCTAGGTATTTCCATCATTTATCAGAATAAGTGAGTAGTATTTAGAGTATCAGTGCAGTATTTGTACTTTGTGGGAGAGCGGAGGGGAGAGCTGGTTCAGGTTGTGTGGCAGCTGCAGTTTGAGGCCATTGGGGACGCCTTTCAGATACTTCCCTTTTCCGTTCGACAAACCGGGTCTGAAAACACAAAGGACATTATAAAGATGTAGAAGTTTTTTTTTGTTTGTTTTGTTTTTGTGACGGTGACAGTGGAGTTTCTGACCTGCTCCTCTCGTCTTCGTCGCTGCTGCAGATTTCATCGCTGGACGAAGAATATTCTGTGGCTTTGTTCAGGCGACTCTGGGGCGACTTTAATCCCTTTGACACAAACACAAACAACATGAGCTGAAGCAGAGGAATATATACACATGCACGATACGATACTGATCTCGGCCTGATACGAGTCTCATTCCGGCATGATATGACACAGTGCACCTTTAAAGTAAAAGTATCATCCGAAAAAAGAAATATATCAATACATGAACTGAGGAAAAATGTATGTAACAATACGTTAGACAAGGTCTAAACTAATAGGAATAACAAAACCTTGCACTCAGAGGTTTCTTTTGCTAAACGACATGTCCAAACTAAATCTGACAATTAACAATCGTCGCATATTACAAGCAGGTCTTACAGCTGCCAAAAAAATGGTAATTGCCGGTGGAAATCAGTTCAACCTCTGACTGTGAGAGAATGGCTCCTATCTTTCGAATGCACGGAGCAAAAACCAAAAACATTTCTTGTTGGTCCAATCTGTTGATCAAACTGAGATCTGAATCTATTGTATAGTTGTTACCTGGAGATTTTTCATTATAATATATGTTCTTAGAATGTACACAATATGTATACTTTCAGTTAACTCTCTATGTATGGTACATAACAAGTATGTGTAACGCAATTTCTGCTGATGTCTTTTGACGGAGGAAATTTGCCGTGTTTTGTACAGAGGGAATCTAAACCTGGATATGTTTTTTTTTTTTTTTTTGTTTTGTGTGTGTGTGTGTGTGTGTATGTGAATGTGTATATACATGTGGATGTATATATAACATATATATTATAATATGTGTATATGGGTATGTGTGTTTACTTAGACGATGTATATATGTATTATATATGTATATGTACATGTGTGTGTATATGTATATGTACATGTATATGTGTGTGTATATGTACATGTATATGTACATGTATATATATATATGTATATGTGTGTGTATATGTATATGTACATGTATATGTATATGTACATGTATATGTGTGTGTACATGTGTGTGTACATATGTATGTTGATGTCCATCAATAGGGAGTTTAAGGGTGGGGGGGTTAAAAGGGAGAAAAATGCAATGCTAACAGGAATATATATAACTGCAAATAATAACACTTGAATTAAAATTTGATCACAAAAAAGAAAAATGTATGTAAAACCTGTGAGGATCATTGGTTTCCTGAGTTAGTATTTTGTGCTCTGACCTGTGTGTGGTGTGACGGCCTGAGGTTCTGAGGTCTGTGCTGTAACAGAGGACTCTCCAGAAGGAAGTATCCTACAAACACACACACACACACACACACACACACACACACACACACACACACACACACACACACACACACACACACACACACACACACACACACACACACACACACACACACACACACACACACAAACAAACAAACAAACAAACACACACACACACAAACAGGAGATAAATACATAATAATAATAACAGTGGGGGGGGGTCAGGGCTTGCAAGTCCTTCTCTGCTGGCCTAAAAAAATCTCAGAATCACAGACTGATGTTAATTATATTATTATTAAATAATATTAATATTAAAATAAAGACTTATTAAATAATTCCAAATGGTCTTTTCAGATGTTTGTGCTGCTTCCACACGTGTATTTTCATATTAAATCATTTGACCAATCACATTTCAGGAGTCACTTGTTGCCGGGCAGAGTCAAAGTCACAGAAGTGTGTCTGAGGTCTTCACAATGTTTCTGAAGGAACTCGAACACAAAATAAATGTCCATGAAACTGTTGCTTCAACCAATCAGATTTTGAGTCAGTGTCGCTGGGCCTTCAGCAGTCTAAACCAGGTCTAAACCAGGTCTAAACCAGGTCTAAACCAGGTCTAAACCAGGTCTAAACCAGGTCTAAACCAGGACTAAACCAGGTCTAAACCAGGTCTAAACCAGGTCTAAACCAGGTCTAAACCAAACCAGGTCTAAACCAGGTCTAAACCAGGTCTAAACCAGGACTAAACCAGGTCTAAACCAGGACTAAACCAGGTCTAAACCAGGACTAAACCAGGTCTAAACCAGGTCTAAACCAGGTCTAAACCACTAGGTCTAAACCAGGTCTAAACCAGGACTAAACCAGGTCTAAACCAGGTCTAAACCAGGTCTAAACCAGGTCTAAACCAGGTCTAAAACCAGGTCTAAACCAGGACTAAACCAGGTCTAAACCAGGACTAAACCAGGTCTAAACCAGGACCTAAACCAGGACTAAACCAGGACTAAACCAGGTCTAAACAAGGACTAAAACAGGTCTAAATTAGGACTAAACCAGGACTAAAACAGGACTAAAACAGGACTAAACCAGGACTAAACCAGGTCTAAACCAGGTCTAAACCAGGTCTAAACCAGGTCTAAACCAGGAAAAAAACAGGACTAAACCAGGTCTAAAGCAGGTCTAAACCAGGTGTAAACCAAGACTAAACCAGGACTAAAACAGGACTAAACCAGGACTAAACCAGGTCTAAACCAGGTCTAAACCAGGTCTAAACCAGGTCTAAACCAGGACTAAACTAAACCAGGTCTAAACCAGGTAAACCAGGACTAAACCAGGTCTAAACCAGGACTAAACCAGGTCTAGGTCTAAACCAGGTCTAAACCAGGTCTAAACCAGGTCTAAACCAGGACTAAACCAGGACTAAACCAGGTAAACCAGGTCTAAACCAGGTCTAAACCAGGTCTAAACCAGGACTAAACCACCAGGTCTAAACCAGGTCTAAACCAGGTCTAAACCAGGTCTAAACCAGGAAACCAGGTCTAAACCAGGTCTAAACCAGGTCCAGGACTAAACCAGGACTAAACCAGGACTAAACCAGGTCTAAACCAGGACTAAACCAGGTCTAATCCAGGACTAAACCAGGACTAAACCAGGTAAACCAGGACTAAACCAGGTCTAAACCAGGTCTAAACCAGGTCTACTAAACCAGGTCTTAAACCAGGTCTAAACCAAAACCAGGACTAAACCAGGTCTAAACCAGGTCTAAAACCAGGTCTAAACCAGGTCTAAACCAGGACTAAACCAGGTCTAAACCAGGTCTAAACCAGGTCTAAACCAGGTCTAAACCAGGACTAAACCAGGTCTAAACCAGGTCTAAACCAGGTCTAAACCAGGTCTAAACCAGGTCTAAACTAAACCAGGACCCAGGTCTAAACCAGGACTAAACCAGGACTAAACCAGGTAAACCAGGACTAAACCAGGTCTAAACCAGGACTAAACCAGGTCTAAACCAGGTCTAAACCAGGACTAAACCAGGTCTAAACCAGGACTAAACCAGGTCTAAAACCAGGTCTAAACCAGGTCTAAACCAGGACTAAACCAGGACTAAACCAGGTCTAAACCAGGACTAAACCAGGACTAAACCAGGTCTAAACCAGGTCTAAACCAGGACTAAACCAGGTCTAAAAGGTAAACCAGGTCTAATCCAGGTCTAATCCAGGTCTAAACCAGGACTAAACCAGGTCTAAACCAGGTCTAAACCAGGACTAAACCAGGTCTAAACCAGCACTAAACCAGGACTAAACCAGGACCAAACCAGGTCTAAACCAGGTCTAAACCAGGTCTAAACCAGGATTTAACAGGACTAAATCCTGCTGTGTGGACGTGTTTCTTCTTCTTCTATCAATAATATTTTTAATTTGGTTCTGTAAAGTCTGGACTTTTTATTTTCTTTTATCAGACAAAACTTCTTATGTGAAGATTTCCTCGTCTTTGTTTCTCTACAGCAAATCAAGTAATCCAAAGTAATCAGATTACATTACTCACTTTAAGTAATTTAATGGATTATGTTACAAACTACATTTTGGTGTGTGTAATCTGTAATCTGTAGGGGATTACATTTTAAAAGTAACACTCCCAACACTGATTACTGAAGGCCTAGCTGTGAAATGAACAGATTTTACACCAGATGCCCCGTCACAACCAGCTCCATCACTGTGACTGGTGTGGGAAATGTGAGAGAATTTGAATCGTTCATTAGTGTTGGGAGTGTTACTTTTAAAATGTAATCCCCTACAGATTACAGATTACACACACCAAAATGTAGTTTGTAACGGAATCCATTAAATTACTTAAAGTGAGTAAAGTAATCTGATTACTTTGGATTACTTGATATTGTGGAGCTTTTTAAAACTGCATGAATGTAACAACCACATCCTGAAAATTCACATTTGTTCTCTTCAAATTGGCCCTGGTTTAGACCTGGTTTAGACCTGGTTTAGTCCTGATTTTAGTCCTGGTTTTAGTCCTGATTTTAGTCCTGGTTTAGTCCTGATTTTAGTTCTGATTTCAGTCCTGGTTTAGTCCTGGTTTAGACCTCATTTTAGTCCTGGTTTAGTCCTGTGTTTAGTCCTGGTTTTAGTCCTGATTTCAATCCTGGTTTAGTCCTGGTTTTAGTCCTGGTTTAGTCCTGATTTTAGTCCTGGTTTTAGTCCTGATTTTAGTCCTGGTTTTAGTCCTGATTTTAGTCCTGGTTTAGTCCTGATTTTAGTCCTGGTTTAGTCCTGGTTTAGTCCTGGTTTTAGTCCTGGTTTAGTCCTGGTTTTAGTCCTGGTTTAGTTCTGGTATTGTCCTGGTTTAGTCCTGGTTTAGTCCTGATTTTAATCCTGGTTTTAGTCCTGGTTTAGACCTGGTTTTAATCCTGATTTTAAGCCTGGTTTAGTCCTGGTTTTAGTCCTGGTTTAGATCTCATTTTAGTCCTGGTTTTAGACCTGGTTTTGGTCCTGGTTTTAGTCCTGATTTCAATCCTGGTTTAGTCCTGGTTTAGACCTGGTTTAGACCTGGTTTAGTCCTGGTTTAGACCTGGTTTTAATCCTGATTTTAAGCCTGGTTTAGTCCTGGTTTTAGTCCTGATTTAGTTCTGGTTTCAGTCCTGATTTTAATCCTGGTTTAGTCCTGGTTTTAATCCTGATTTTAAGCCTGGTTTAGTCCTGGTTTTAGTCCTGATTTAGTCCTGGTTTTAGTCCTGATTTTAATCCTCGTTTTAGTCCTGGTTTAGACCTGGTTTAGTCCTGGTTTAGACCTGGTTTAGTCCTGGTTTAGTCCTGGTTTAGTCCTGGTTTAGTCCTGGTTTAGCCCAAGACAGGGGCCCATGGAGGTTTGTTGCCCCGGGCCCCCAGTTTTCTACGGTGCAAAAACATGATAATAATGACAATATTGTGTTTCATATCTGAGATTTAAGTCTGTGTATTTCTGTATTTCTGTATTTCTGTATTTCTGTATTTCTGCTCATGCCCGAGGAGCCAACTGTAAGAACACAAAGAGCGAACTATAACACCGCTCAAATCACACGACAAAACACACAAAGAGTCCATTAAAAACAGCCCGAGGAGAAACCGCTCCAGATCTGGACGGATAAAAAAGTTTGTGGATTTTCATTTTTAATAAAACGACACAAAACGCGAGGAAATGTGAGCGGCGGGAATCTGTTTGGAACATTTAAATAACTAAATAAAAACCGTACCTGGGTGATTGTTGTTCAGTGAAGGACTCCCATGAGGCCTGCCGCTGTGGTCGACCAGTGACACGGGGCTGCCGCTAGAGGGAGACACACACTCAGGTCATTGACGGGAGACTGAGCCAAACCCCCCAAAAAAAACATCTATTTTTAGCAAAAAGTCACATCCTCTGGGTTTAAACCACTGATTTTATTTAATTTTGTAAGTTTTACATGTTGTTAAAATGATCTATCTTGTATTTTTTTTTATTGCAGATGTGTTGTGTGTGACTGGGCTTGCCTCGCCACAGATCTGACCTGTAACATAACCTTCTGGCTTCCTTCTTGCTTCCATTGAATTAAAAAAAATAAAGTTTTAAGCCAAACTGTGGTACATTTCCCGACAAGGATGTATACAGGGTCTCAATATTTACATAGTGCAACTTCAAAAGGTGAGAACCCTGGTCTGGTCCTTGGTCTGGTCCTTGGTCTAGTCCCTGGTCTCTGGTCTCTGGTCCGGGCCCTAGTCTGGTCTCTGGTCTGGTCTAGTGTGTCTGGTCTCTGGTCTTGTCCTGGTCCGCTCCCTGGTCCGGCCTCTGATCTGATCTCTGGTCTTGCCTCTGATCTCTGGTCTCTAGTCTGGTCCTGGCCCAGTCCCTGATCTGCACTTTGGTCCGGTCTCTGGTCCGGTCTCTGGTCTGGTCTGGTCCAGTCCCTGGTCCAGTCCCTGGTCCGGTCCCTGGTCCGGTCCCTGGTCCAGTCCCTGGCCCGGTCTTTAGTCTGGTCTCGACTCTGATCTCTAGTATGGTCTCTGGTCCGGTCCCTAGTCCGGTCCCTGGTCCAGTCCCTGGTCCGGTCTTTAGTCTGGTCTCTAGTCCCTGGTCCAGTTCCTGTTCTAGTCTTTGGTCTAGTCTCTGGTCTGGTCTCTAGTCTAGTCTCTGGTCTGGTCTCTAGTCCCTGGTCCGGTCCTGGTCCGGTCCTGGTCCCTGGTCTGGGCTCTGTTACCTGGAGGGCGTCCGGTTGTGTCTCTTGATCAGTTCTTTGCAGTAAAACTTTGAGGTAGTTCTCTCTGGGACCTGGACACAAACAAAAACACAAAACCATAAAAGTCGTTTCATTTAAACGTCATAAATCCGACTCCTGTGAGTCTGAGTTTCCAGCAGCGTCATTCAGACGTTCATAAAAACACTAAACCAGGACTAAACCAGGTCTAAACCAGGACTAAACCAGGTCTAAACCAGGTCTAAAGGCCCAGTTTAAACGACTGAAACACAGAGAAATAAAACAGTCACAGCCTCCAGAAGATCTACTTTTACACAACATCAGGACTTTTTATGACAGTTGAGTTAAATCTGAAACAGTCTGAGGAAACAAACACCTGCAAACAGACGGAGACTTTTTCCAATGTTTTTTTAAGGAAAACAAAATCATCTGCAGGAGCTTCAGAACTTCATAAAACATCAGTTTTTTCTTTCAAATTTCTTCCTAAATCAAATTTTGGTGTTAAAACCTAAAGCAGGTTTCTCAGGTCTAAACCAAGACTAAACCAGGACTAAACCAGGTCTAAACCAGGACTGAACCAGGTCTAAACCAGGACTGAACCAGGTCTAAACCAGGACTAAACCAGGTCTAAACCAGGTCTAAACCAGGTCTAAACTTGGGCTAAACTAATTTTAAACAACCAAGTCTAACTTAGGTCTAAACCAGGGTTAAACCAGGTCTAAACCACAACTAAACCAGGTCTAAGACAGGTCTACAAAGAAACCTAAATCAGGTCTAAACCAGGTCTAAACCAGGTCTGAAACAGGACTAAACCTAATCTAAACCACATCTTAACCAGGGTCTAAACCAGGACTAAACCAGGTCTAAGACAGATCTAAATTAGGACTAAATCAAGCCTAAATCAGGTTTAAACCAGGTCTGAACCAGGTCTGAACCAGGACTAAAACAGGACTAAACCAGGACTAAACCAGGTCTAAGACAGGTCTACAAAGAAACCTAAATCAAGTCTAAACCAGGTCTAAATTAGGACTAAATCAAGCCTAAACCAGGTCTAAACCAGGTCTGAACTAGGACTAAAACAGGACTAAACCAGGATTAAAACAAGACTAAACCAGGACTAAAACAGGACTAAACCAGGACTAAAACAAGACTAAACCAGGACTAAACCAGGACTAAAGCAGGACTGAACCAGGACTAAACCAGGACTGAACCAGGACTAAACCAGGACTAAACTACAGCAAGTGCAGAGCATCGTGGAGTGTGGTGCGGGTCGGACCTTGGGCGGGGTCTCGGGGGGGTCCCAGAACACGTCGTCAGAGGGCGAGCGAGGAGTGAATGGAGACAGGGGGGAGAGAGATAGGGCCATGTCGGACAGAGAGCTGCTGTGGGCGGAGTCTCGGCTCGACAGAAGGTTCACGTTCTGCAACAGGAACAAGGAGAGTACAGGACTAAACCAGGACTAAACCAGGACTAAACCAGGACTAAACCAGGACTAAACCAGGACTGAAACCAGGACTAAACCAGGACTGAGGACTAACCAGGGACTGAACCAGGACTAAACCAGGACTAAACCAGGACTAAACCAGGACTGAACCAGGACTGAACCAGGACCAAACCAGGACTAAACCAGGACTAACCACCAGGACTAAACCAGGACTAAACCAGGACTGAACCAGGACCGAACCAGGACCAAACCAGGTCTGAACCAGGACTAACCAGGACTGAACCAGGACTAAACCAGGACTAAACCAGGACTAAACCAGGACTGAAACCAGGACTGAACCAGGACTGAAACCAGGACTGAACCAGGACTAAACCAGGACTAAACCAGGACTAAACCAGGACTAAACCAGGACTAACCAGGTCTGAACCAGGACTAAACCAGGACTAAACCAGGACTAAACCAGGACTAAACCAGGACTAAACAGGACTAAACCAGGACTAAACCAGGACTAAACCAGGACTAAACCAGGACTAACCAGGACTAAAACCAGGACTAAACCAGGACTAAACCAGGACTAAACTAAACCAGGACTAAACCAGGACTAAACCAGGACTAAACTGAACCAGGACTAAACCAGGACTGGACTAAACCAGGACTAAACCAGGACTAAAAAACCAGGGACTAAACCAGGACCGAAACCAGGACTAAACCAGGACTGAACCAGGACTAAACCAGGACTGAACCAGGACTAAACCAGGACTGAACCAGGACTAAACCAGGACTAAACCAGGACTAAACAGGACTAAAGGACTAAACCAGGACTAAACCAGGACTAAACTAAACCAGGACTAACCAGGACTGAACCAGGACTAAACCAGGACTAAACCAGGACTAAACCAGGACTGAACCAAGGACTAAACCAGGACTAAACCAGGACTAAACCAGGACTAAAAACCAGGACTAAAGGACCAGGACCGGAACCAGGACTAAACCAGGACTAAACCAGGACTAAACGGAACCAGGACTGAAACCAGGACTAAACCAGGACTAAACTAGGACTAACCAGGAACTAAACCAGGACTAAACCAGGACTAAACCAGGACTAAACCAGGACTAAACCAGGACTAAACCAGGACTAAACCAGGATTAAACCAGGACTAAACCAGGACTAAACCAGGACTGAACCAGGACTAAACCAGAAACCAGAAACCAGGACTGACCAGGACCAGGAAACCAGGACTAAACCAGGACTAAACCAGGACTAAACCAGGATTAAAACCAGGAACTAAACCAGGACTAAACCAGGACTAAACCAGGACTAAACCAGGACTAAACCAGGACTAAACCAGGACTAAACCAGGACTAAACCAGGACTGAACCAGGACTGAACCAGGACTAAACCAGACTGAACCAAACCAGGAACTGAACCAGGACTAAACCAGGAACTAAACCAGGACTTAAACCAGACTGAACCAGGACTGAACCAGGACTGAACCAGGACTAAACCAGGACTGAAACTAAACAGGACTAAACCAGGACTAAAAGACCCAGGACTAAACCAGGACTAAACAGGACTAAACCAGGACTAAACCAGGACTAAACCAGGACTAACCAGGACTGAACCAGGACTGAACCAGGACTAAACCAGGACTTAAACCAGGACTGAAACCAGGACTAAACCAGGATAAACCAGACTGAACCAGGACTAAACCAGGACTAAACCAGGACTAAACCCCGGGTCTACAGCTGTTTTCAGGGACGTGTGAGTACCTGGCTGAGGTGAGCTCTCTGCATGGCGGGAGTACAGGGACTGGAGCTGCTCCCCGACCCGAGCCTCGTGTGGACCTGACTGGGCAGAGCGGAGGACATGATGGCCCGGGCCAGAGGGGAGTCCTGCAGGTCCATCTGCAAATACCAGCAACAATAAAGTATTTTAAACTACTGCGATAAAAAAATAAAAAACAATAAATATATGTATATAATCTGGACTTAACTAGATCTAAGACAGGTCTAAAAAAACAAATCTAAACCAAGTCCAAACCAGGTCTAAACCAGAACTAAACCAGGTCTAAAAAAACAAATCTAAACCAAGTCTAAAACCAGGTCTAAACCAGAACTAAAACCAGGTCTAAAAACTAAAAATCTAAAAGTAAACCAGGTCTAAACCAGAACTAAACCAGGTCTATAAAACAAAATAAAACAAGTCTAAACCAGGTCTAAACTAAACCAGAACTAAAAGGTCTAAAAAACTAAACCAGGTCTAAACCAGTCTAAAATCTAAATCAAGTCTAAACCAGGTCTAAAACCAGAACTAATAAAAAACAAAATCTAAATCAAACCAGTCTAAACCAGGTCTAAACCAGAAAACCAGGTCTAAAAAAAAATCTAAATCTAAACCAGTCTAAACCAGGTCTAAACCAGAACTAAACCAGGTCTAAAAACAAAATCTAAATCAAGTCTAAACCAGGTCTAAACCAGAACTAAACCAAGTCTAAAAAACAAAATCTAAATCAAGTCTAAACCAGGTCTAAACCAGAACTAAACCAGGTCTAAAAACAAAATATAAATCAAGTCTAAACCAGGTCTAAACCAGAACTAAACCAAGTCTAAAAACAAAATCTAAATCAAGTCTAAACCAGGTCTAAACCAGAACTAAACCAGGTCTAAAAACAAAATCTAAATCAAGTCTAAACCAGGTCTAAACCAGGTCTAAACTCTAAAAAACAGTCTAAACCAAACAAAGGCTAAATCTCAGTCTAAACCAGGTCTAAACAAACTAAACCAGGTCTAAACAGGTCTAAACCAGAACTAAACCAGGTCTAAAAACAAATCTAAATCAAGTCTAAACCAGGTCTAAACCAAACTAAACAAGTGTATAAAACAAATCTACACCAGGCCTTGTAATCCGTGTATCATTCGTTCATTTTCAATATAAACCAAAAATAAGAAAACGAAAAAAAACAACAGTTTCTTCGTTATTTGTTTCTAAAACCAAAATGAAAAAACGGATAAATTCGTTTTTTCAGTTTTCGATTTGTGTTAAATAAAAATGGAAAAAACGATAACGGCCGTTTCCCGTTTACCGTGACTTCAGTGACTGTTATGCCGGTTTTGCACCGTGTACGGACTGAACCAGGACTGATCCAGGTCCGAGACCAGACCGGGACAAGACTAACCAATCTGGTTCCGTGTCAAGTCTGTGCTCTGGTTCTGTGTAAACGAATGTTCTGTGACTCCAGGTCTGGACGTGTGCTCCAGAACTCAAGAACCAGACTGGTCTGAAACAAAACATCCAACTGACATTTCAACAACGAAAAAAACTGAACTAGAGCTTTTGGCTAAATGGTAAAAAACCGGGACCAGAACAGAGCGCTATCAGAGCCCACTGCAGGGCCTCGAGGAGGCTTGGACCCCGCGGAGGCTCTCAAAGCTTGGAGTCCGCCCCAGTCCCCTCTGGTCCCGCCTCCTGGTCTGGTCCTGCTCCCACTGGTCCCTCTCTCTGGTTCTGGTTCTCTCGGACCTGGATCAGTCCTGTTTCAGTCCGTACCCGTGCAAAAAGGCTATCAAGTCACTGAAGTCACATAAACGGGAAACGGCGTTTATCAATTTTGGTTTTGGAGACAAATAACGAAGAAAACTGTTGTTTTTCATTTCTTATTTTGGTTTATATTGAAAAAAAATGAACGAATAGATACACGGATTCCTTGTCAGTCTGTGTTTTGTTTGTTTTTACAGTGTTCATGTTTTCTGCGTTCGCTGAAATGAACAAACTGAAGTGTAAAGAAACATCACACAATCTTAACGTTGATGTCGATGACCTGTTCACACTTAAACGGAAAACGAGACAATTTATATTTGTTGTTCTGCTGTTGTGTCCTCGGGCAAGACACGTGAGTACGAGTGTTGGCGTGTGTGAGCGCAGACGGTGAACGATCCCGTCAAGGTCGACACGCGCTACACGATTTTTCGGTCGTAAACTATTTTTAAACGTGTGACAAAATCTACGTTCAGACTGCAGGTTTAACGCTCAATTCAGATTTTTTTGTGAAATCCGATGTTTTTTCGAGGTCGTTCACATTTCCAGTTAAATGTGACTTGTATGTGACTCCAGTGTGAACGTTAAACAGCCCAAAAGTGTCCCACATGTGACACTGGAGACACGACGACGTCAACCGCAGCGAGCGTCTCTGTGTTTACAGAAGTTGTCCAAACATGGACGCAGCATCGAGCACCTGGAGATTTTAAAGTTCCTCTCGTACCGGAGCCAGAACATGAACAACTTACTTGTTTTAAGGAGGAGATTGAGAAGGAGAAGGACGAGGTTTTTGGTCGTGGTGTTTTGTGGTGAGTGGTGATGTGCTTCACTTCAGTCACACTCAGTTCATTAACAATTTTCACCTGCTTCAGTGCAGAATAGTGACGTTTGTGTCTTGTTGATAACGTGTAGGTGGATGAATGCACTTTGGCCGTTCACACTGAAGTCACATGTTAAAGATCAGATATGTATCAGTTTCAGGAGCACATATCCAAGTGTCCTGGGTCACATTTGAAAAAATCGGATCTGTGTCGTTCAGACTGTCAATAAAAGATCAGATACAGGACACATTGGCTGCGTTCAGACTGCAGCCTGAAGTGACCCAAATCCGATTTTTTGGCTTCTATGTTCCTGTATCTGATCTTTTATTGACAGTCTGAACGACACAGATCTGATTTTTTCAAATGTGACCCAGGACACTTGGATATGTGCTCCTGAAACTGATACATATCTGATCTTTAACATGTGACTTCAGTCTGAACGGTCAAAGTGCATTCATCCACCTACACGTTATCAACAAGACACAAACGTCACTATTCTGCGCTGAAGTAGGAGAAAATTGTTAATGAACTGAGTGTGACTGAAGTGAAGCACATCACCACTCACCACAAAACACCACGACCAAAAACCTCGTCCTTCTCCTTCTCAATCTCCTCCTTAAAACAAGTAAGTTGTTCATGTTCTGGCTCCGGTACGAGAGGAACTTTAAAATCTCCAGGTGCTCGATGCTGCGTCCATGTTTGGACAACTTCTGTAAACACAGAGACGCTCGCTGCGGTTGACGTCGTCGTGTCTCCAGTGTCACATGTGGGACACTTTTGGGCTGTTTAACGTTCACACTGGAGTCACATACAAGTCACATTTAACTGGAAATGTGAACGACCTCGAAAAAACATCGGATTTTCACAAAAAAATCTGAATTGAGCGTTAAACCCTGCAGACTGAACGTCGACTTAGAAGCACAACACCACAAACACGAGGAGATGATGAGATTTTAAATCTCTGAGCAGCAGGATGTGTCCATGGACCAGAGGATATAAATCTGACAGGCTGTGATGGCGTCGTTCTGATACTCAGGACTAAACCAGGACTAAACCAGGACTAAACCAGGACTAAACCAGGACTAAACCAGGACTAAAACCAGGACTAAACAGGACAAACAGGACTAAACCAGGACTAAACCAGGACTAAACAGGACTAAACCAGGTCTACTAAACCAGGACTAAACCAGGACTAAACCAGGACTAAACCAGGACTAAACCCAGGACTAAACCAGGACTAAACCAGGACTAAACCAGGACTACTAAACCAGGACTAAACCAGGTCTAAACCAGGACTAAACAGGACTAAACCAGGACTAAACCAACTAAACCGGACTAAACAGGACTAAACCAGGACTAAACCAGGATTAAACCAGGACTAAACCAGGACTAAACAGGACTAAACAGGACTAAACCAGGACTAAACCAGGACTAAACCAGGACTAAACCAGGACTAAACCAGGACTAAACCAGGACTAAACCAGGACTAAACCAGGACTAAACCAGGACTAAACCAGGACTAAACTAAACCAGGACTAAACCAGGTTAAACCAGGACTAAACCAGGACTAAACCAGGACTAAACCAGGTTCTAAACCAGGACTAAACCAGGACTAAACCAGGACTAAACCAGGAGGACTAAACCAGGTCTAAACCAGGACTAAACCAGGACTAAACCAGGTAAACCAGGACTAAACCAGGACTAAACCAGGACTAAACCAGGACTAAACTAAACCAGGTAAACCAGGTCTAAACCACCAGGTCTAACCAGGACTACACCAGGACTAAACCAGGACTACACCAGGTCTAAACCCAGGACTAACCAGGACTAAACCAGGACTAAACCAGGACTAACACCAGGACTAAACCAGGACTAAACCAGGACTAACCAGGACTAAACCAGGTCTAAACCAGGACTAAACCAGGTCTAAACCAGGACTAAACAGGACTAAACCAGGTCTAAACCAGGACCAGGACTAACCAGGACTAACCAGGACTACCAGGACTCTAAACCAGGTCTAAACCAGGACTACACCAGGACTCTAAACCAGGACTACACAGGTCAAACCAGGACTACACCAGGACTACAAACCAGGTAAACTAAACCAGGACTAAACCAGGACTAAACCAGAACCAGGTAACCACCCAGGACTAAACCAGGACTAAACACTACAGGGACTAAACCAAACCAGGACTAACCAGGACTAAACCAGGACTAAACAGGACTAAACTAAAACCAGGACTACAACTAAACAGGACTAAACCAGGTCTAAACCAGGACTAAACCAGGACTAAACCAGGACTAAACCAGGACTAAAGGACCAGGACTCTAAACCAGGACTACACTAAACCAGGACTACTAAACCAGGACTACAACCAGGACTAAACATAAACCAGGACTACACCAGGTCTAAACCAGTAAACCAGGACTACTAAACCAGGAAACTAAACCAGGTCTAAACCACTAAACAGGACTAAACCAGGACTAAACCAGGAAACTAAACCAGCCAGGTCTAAACCAGGACTACATCAGGTCTAAACCAGGACTACACCAGGACTAATCAGGTCTAAACCAGGTCTAAACCAGGAACTAAACCAGGACTACACCGGTCTAATCCAGGACTACACCAGGACTAAACCAGGACTAAACCAGGACTAAACCAGGACTAAACCAGGACTACAGGACTAAACCAGGACTACAGGACTAAACCAGGACTAAACCAGGACTAAAACCAGGACTAAACCAGGACTAAACCAGGTCTAAACCAGGACTAACCAGGTCTAAACCAGGACTAAACCAGGACTAAACCAGGACTAAACCAGGACTCTAAACCAGGACTAAACCAGGTCTAAACCAGGACTAAAACCAGGACTAAACCAGGACTAAACCAGGACCACCAGGACTAAACCAGGACTACACCAGGTCTAAACCAGGACTACACCACTACACCAGGACTAAACCAGGACTAAACCAGGACTAAACCAGGACTAAACCAGGTCTAAACCAGGACTACACCAGGACTAAACCAGGGACTAAACACAGGACTAAACCAGGACTAAACCAGGTCTAAACCAGGACTAAACCAGGACTAAACCAGGTCTAAACCAGGACTAAACCAGGACTAAACCAGGACTAAACCAGGACTAAACCAGGACTAAACCAGGACTAAACCAGGACTTCACCAAGAGTAAACGAGGACTGAACGAGAACTGCAGCTGAACTCAGGGAGAAGCAAATCGCAGCCAAAATCGGTCAAATTCTCCTGTCGTGCGCTGCGTCCTTTAAGGTTTTTGCGCGTCTTGAGAGAAAAACGTTTAAATCTAAAGCATTTAAAAAACAAGAACAGAACAGCAGAAAGAGAAGCAGAGCAGGTTACCACGAAGCGCTGCTGGTTCAGAGAGCGAGCCACAGGCAGAGCTGGAGCGCTGGGCACAGCAGCGGCCGCTACATCCTTAGTCCGCGTCTGGTCTCTAGTCTGGTTTCTGGTCTGGTCCCTGGTCGTGTCTCTAGTCTGGTCCCTGGTCTGGTCCCCGGTCGCGTCCCTGGCCTGGTCCCTGGTCTGGTCCCTGGCCCGGCTCTGGTCCCTGGCCCGGTCCTTGTGGTCGTGTTGCAGGGAGAGCAGCGTGGTCTGGTCCTTGGGCAGGGTGCGGTGGGAGCGTCTGCCCGCCGAAGGCTGCTGGTGCTGGGGCACGGCCTGAGCTTTGCCCTGGGGAGGAGGCTGGAGCTTAGGCTGGAGCGGGGCGCATCTCTGAAGCCGCACGGGAAGCAGGCGAGAGCGGACGGACGGCAGACGACACAGCGCAGAGAGCAAAAAAAATAAACAAAACACAAAACAAAACTGAAAAAAAGCAATGATGAAAGTGTCAAATTACGACGAGTATAAGGGTCAGATAAAAAAAAAAGTCGTAACATTTTGACATTAAAGTCGTAATTTTATGAGAATAAAGTCGTAATTTTATGAGAATAAAGTCGTAATTTTATGAGAATAAAGTCGTAGTCAAAATAAAGTCATAATATTAGGAGAAAATCGGCTGCTCAGAAACTCTGACCGAGTGGAGAATGGAGAATTTGGAGAATTTTGTAAAGGAGAAAAATCCGTGTATCTTTCGTTCACTCGACTGAACAAGGACTGAATCAGGACTAAATCAAGTCCAGAACCAAACCAGAAAGACCAGGATTGAGACCGAGACCAGACCAGGACTGAGGCCGGGACCAGACCAGGACTGAAAACGGTTTAGTCCTAGTTTAGTCCTGGTTTAAGTCACTGGAAAATGGTCCTGGTTCAGTCCTTGTCTCAGTTCCTGGTTTAGTCCTGGTCTCAGTCTCCGGTTCAGTCCTGTCTTTTAGTCCTGGTTCAGTCCTGGTTCAGTCCTGCTTTAGTCCTGGTTCAGTCCTGGTTTAGTCCTGGTTTAGTCCTGGTTCAGTCCTGGTTTAGTCCTGGTTCAGTCCTGGTTTAGTCCTGGTTCAGTCCTGCTTTAGTCCTGGTTCAGTCCTGGTTTAGTCCTGGTTCAGTCCTGGTTTAGTCCTGGTTTAGTCCTGCTTTAGTCCTGGTTTAGTCCTGGTTTAGTCCTGGTTTAGTCCTGCTTTAGTCCTGGTTTAGTCCTGGTTTTAGTCCTGGTTCAGTCCTGGTTTAGTCCTGCTTAGTCCTGGTTCAGTCTTGCTTTAGTCCTGGTTTAGTCCTGGTTCAGTCCTGCTTTAGTCCTGGTTTAGTCCTGGTTCAGTCCTGGTTCAGTCCTGGTTCAGTCCGGAGGCGCAAATAATGAAGAAAATTGTTGTTCGTTTTCTTATTTTTAGTTTTACATTAAAAACAAGTTTCTTCTTCTGCCGCATTTTTCACTTTGACTTTGATTTTATTACGACTTCATTCTCATAATATTACGACTTTAATGTCCAAATGTTACGACTTTATTCTCGTAGCGCCAGCATCTTTTTTTTTTTTTTTATCTGACCCTTATTCTCCGTCGTATCATATAAACAAGCAGAAAACACTGGAGGTTTATAAAGCACACGGCAACATTTCTGAAACAAAATGAGTGTATTAATTTGCATTTTGTGTTGAAGTTGTTGCATGAAAAGCCCTCTGTAAATAAAGTTTGATTCATGGATTGATAATTGACCACAAATAACATTTTTCCACAACTTTTTTGTCTTAATTTTTTTATTACAAATGTCCTACTCTCCACGGGAAATCAACAAACTCACTCAACAAGAAACCGAACCAGGAATCTCCTCGTTATGAGGCACCGGGAAGAACTACACGTAGTGATAAAAAATACTTTATTATAAGACAAAAACAAACAAAATACAATCTAATAAAAAAGAATAAAATTAAAAAATAAATAATAAATATACCAAGTCTTAACCAGGTCAAAATTAGGACTAAACCAGGACTAAAACAGACTAAACAAGGACTAAACCGGGACTAAAACAGGACTAAAGCAGGACTACACCAGGACTAAACGAGGATTAAACAAGGACTAAACCGGAACTAAACCAGAACTAAAACCGGGACTTAAATGTGGACTAAACCAGGACTAAACAAGGACTAAACCGGAACTAAACTGAAAAAAAAAACGGGACTAAACGAGGACTAAACCGAACTAAACCGGGACTAAACGTGGACTAAACCGGGACTAAACAAGGACTAAACCGGAACTAAACCAGAACTAAAACCGGAACTAAATGTGGACTAAACGAGGACTAAACCAGAACTAAACCGGGACTAAATGTGGACTAAATGAGGACTAAACCGGGACTAAACCGGGACTAAACCAGGACGAAACAAGGACTAAACCGGAACTAAACTGAAAAAAAAAACGGGACTAAACGAGGACTAAACAAGGACTAAACCGGGACTAAATGAGGATTAAACAAGGACTAATCCAGGACTAAACCAGGATTAAAACAGGTCTACATCAGGACTAAACCAGGATTAAACAAGGACTAATTCAGGACTAAACAAGGACTAAACAAGAACTAAACCAGGACTAAACAAGGACTAAACCGAGAACTAAACTGGAACTAAACCAGGACTAAACCAGGACTAAAACAGGACTACACCAGGACTAAACGAGGATTAAGCAAAGACTAATCCAGGACTAAACCGGGACTAAACGAGGACTAAACCAGGACTAAACCAGGACTAAACAAGGACTAAACAAGGAATAAACCAGGACTAAACCAGGACTAAACGAGGAATAAACCAGGACTAAACGAGTACCTAAACAGGACTAAACGAGGAATAAACCAGGACTAAACGAGTACCTAAACAAGGACTACACCGGGACTAAACCAGGTCTAAACAAGGACTAAACTGGAACTAAACCAGGTCTAACCGAGGACTCTCACATTAAGATGGCTGCCGGGGAACAGCGGGTCAGTGAGTCCAGACCTGATGGAGTCTGAACACAGAAAAACAAAATATCTCTGGAGTTATTTGAGCACCAGTGGCTCTTCTGTCAGGATGAACTGGGAACAATGGAGACTCAGAAAAGCAGCGTGTTATTGTAAACAAAGACAGGTAAACAAACCCGTCGCCATGGAAACCAGACTCACACTCACTGCACATGAACGGAGTCTGTTTGAGACGCTCGTAAACACACGAGCGAGAGAACATAATGACTGACAGCTGCAATCTGAACCAGGACTAAACCAGGACTGAACCAGGACTGAACCAGGACTGAACCAGGACTGAACCAGGACTAACCAGGACTGAACCAGGACTTAAACGAGAAACAAACCAGGACTAAACCAGGACTAAACCAGAACCAGGAACCAGGAAAACCAGGACTGAACCAGGACTAAACCAGACTGAACCAGGACTGAAACCAGGACTGAACCAGGACTGAACCAGGACTGAACCACCAGGACTGAACCAGGACTGAACCAGACTGAAACCAGGACTAACCCAGGACTGAAACCAGGACTGAACCGGACTAAACCGGACTGAACTGGGACTAAACCAGGACTGAACCAGGACTGAACCAGGACTAAACCAGGACTGAACCAGGACTGAACCAGGACTGAACCAGGACTAAACCAGGACTAAACCAGAAACCAGGACTGAAAGGACTGAACCAGGACTGAACCAGGACTAAACCAGGGACTAAAACCAGACTGAAGGACTGAACCAGGACTAACCAGGACTAAACCAGGACTGAACCAGGACGTCAGGACTAACCAGGACTGAACCAGGAAAACCAGACTGACTTACCAGGACTAACATCGTTTAACCATGAAGCGACTCAACCAGGACTAAACCGGGGTCTATTCCAGAACCAGTCAAAAAAGTCTGGCGTTCACCCAAAGTTTTCAATTTCCATCCAAACAACCAAAGCTTATGTGCAAGTTTATCGTTACGTTACCACAAAACGTTTAATCGTTTAACCGTTTCTCGCTTGGATCACAACTTCAACGTACCCACATTCACACAGTTTAATACAAGTACTGCAACACACAGTAAAGTTAACAGTACAACACAGTAAAGTACTGCAGTACTACAGTAAGTAAAGTACAGTACTACACATGCAGTAAAGTACTGCAGTACTACACATGCAGTAAAGTACTGCAGTACTACACATGCAGTAAAGCAGTAAAACTGCAGTACTGCACAGTAAAGTACTGCAGTACTACAGTACTACACGTAGCAGTAAAGTACTGCAGTACTACACATGCAGTAAGTACTGCAGCACTGCACGTACACAGTACACGTGCAGTACTACTGCAGTACTACAAGTACAGTACAGTACAGTAAAGTACTGCAGGACTACACATGCAGTAACTGCAGTACTAACATGTAAAGTACTGCAGGACATAGTAAGTACTGCAGGACGTGCATCAAAAAATACCAACGGTATCAGTTTCGTTTCCAATAAAAAAATCTGCAGCACATAAGACCTCATATAATATTCTAATTTATTGATATCTAAATGTGTTTGCTCAGCACAAATGAATGTGTGGTTGTATTTTCAGTGTCATGTTTACAATTTAAAACCAATAGTGTCTATAATGTTTCTTGGGGAGACGACGCTCATAAGAGAAACCAAGACAAGACGAGCAAGTCCGGCTGCAAGTGAGTCGGTCCCCACCAAAAATACTAATACTTCTACAATTTGGCAGCATTCTGGCTTCAGGCGCACATTTGTTTACGTTTTACAGAAACAAAACTTAAAACCACATGGCTAATTTACATGAACTGTTCGCGCTGATAAAAACAGATCACTTCTTCTGCTGATGATGTGGTTCAGCCTCTGTCGGATTAAAGGACACGACTCAGTGGAATATATGTTTTTTCAGTGGAATATATGTTTTTTCAGTGGAATATATGTTTTTTCAGTGGAATATATGTTTTTTCAGTGGAATATATTCTTTCTGCGACAGAGGATGGACGTGTAACTTTTAAGTCTGCGGGTCATACACATAGATCATACAGCACTGCGGCTTCACTTACCAATGTCGCACTAAAACATTTTGGTAATATGGTAATACTGTACACCCCGGTCAAATCCTGAGACAGTTTCACGGTATCAAACTTTGGACACTGCCCAACCCTACGTGTCACTTCAGACGTTTACAGTGAATCCGCGTGGTACACGTGTGTGCGTGGACACAGGACACATCTGGACTAAACTCGCTCTTCTGTTGTAGTTCAGGTAAGTCTGCTCTTTCTGGTCCAAATGTTAAAACAAAAGTCAGATTAAAGCCTCAGACAGAGCAGTGCCACCAGTTGGCATCACATCCCCAGAGAATATTGACGACATCAGCTGCAAAAGTATAAACACAACGACAATGATAATCACTAAACTAAACAACCATGGGGACGTTTTCTATAAAACCTGGAGTGCAGTCCCTGTCCCAGCAGATTTATACAAAACCACTGATTTGTCCCAGTTTTACACAAGAAATGTCCCAGAGTCTCTATTTTTGACCAATCTGATCCTGCCGACAGTAAAAAGAGACAAAAACTGTCATTTGTTTAAAGGTTGCATGGAGGATTTTTTGTTTTGTTTCAGTTTGTCAGTGAAAGTTTAAAATACCATTACAGAGACGCAGCAGCCTTGTAATTATGATGACCACAAAAAAAAGAATGAAAATCTATCAACTGTGGACGTCGTGAGGCCAGATAAACATCAGCCAATAGAAAACAAGGCTGCCTCATTTTCTATTGGCTGTCAGGTTGTCAATCAAACTCCCTATGTTTCTAGTGTCTCTGACTCTCGGCGCGCTGGGATTACGTGGTTTACGCAGCGGTTCTTAAGAGTCTTTTTTAAAACTGTCGCTTCCTCGCAATTCGCACAAAGTTTGTCGCGACGGCGGACGAGAATCCACCACCGGTTCGCCGCAAAAGAAAGTCCGTTTTTGAGGTCGCCGAAAGAAGAAGAGAAGGGGAAAAGGAGCGAAGTCAAACTGGGGTGATTCTTGGAGATTCCTTCTAGCGATGGCGCGACTGAAGCAGACGAATGACGTGTTGATCGTTAAATTATTTCTCGACAGGTCACTTCAACAGTATTTCTGAACACACACCGGCTGTAAACATGTGATTTCTAGAGTAAAGGGGCGGGAGCTGTGGAGGAGGACGGTGGTGTCACGCGTGAACAACATTTGAAAAAGGACTGTCGCTGTATTTCTTGTTCCTTAAAAAAAATCCTCTATACAAACTTTAAGTAAAATCTGCTTTAGAAAAAACAAAACACAAAGAAAATGTGACCAAACTGACTCACATGTTCACACAATTTTCCTTAGTTTTTTATTTTGAAATTCTGGTCAAATCAAATCAAAACTAGTGTGTATATATATTAAAACAAAAAAACAGTGTAAATGTCGTTTACCTGTTCGTGCGCAGAGTCGAGCGGTTTCACCAGAACGTCTCCGCTCCTCTGTCTGTCTCTGTCTCTGTCCTGCTCAAAACACCAAGCTCATGATTAAAACACGCACTCACGCATCAAAATTACATCAAAATTACAGATAAAAACGCAGAATTTTCGTCTTAAATTGACGTGGTTCCGCAGCCGAAAGCCGAGCGCGACGTGTAAAAACACAGAGGTGCGCTTTAACGGTTTGTCGATGGTCATTTTGAGGCGAAAGTAAAATATTAAAGAAGCAGACGCCCCGAAGTTTGCATATTTCATAACGACCTCCTTTGGATTTGATTCTGAAAATTTCACTCGTCGCGAGAAAAATAACTAAATAATTAATTTTTAAAAATCTATGAAAGTCTTAAATTTTACATCAGCTGTTGCACATTAAAATATAAACACAAATAATAAATACTAAAATAAAATTAGCTAAAAAAAAAACAAAAACACAAGACTAAACCAGGAATAAACCAGGTTTAAACCAGGACTAAACCAGGACTAAAACCAGGTTTAAACCAGGACTAAACCAGGAATAAACCAGGTTTAAACTAGAACTAAACCAGGACTAAACCAAAATTAAACGAGAACTAAACCAGGACTAAACCAGAACTAAACCAGGTTTAAACCAGGTCAAAACCAGGTCTAAACCAGAACTAAACCAGGTCTAAACCAGAACTAAACCAGGACTAAACTAGAACTAAACCAGGACTAAACCAGGACTAAACCAGGTTTAAACCAGGTTAAACCAGGTCTAAACCAGGACTAAACCAGGTTTAAACCAGGTCTAAACCAGGACTAAACCAGGACTAAACCAGGTTTAAACCAGGTCTAAACCAGGTCTAAACCAGGACTAAACCAGGACTAAACCAGGACTAAACCAGGTCTAAACCAGGACTAAACCAGGTTTAAACCAGGTCTAAACAGGTCTAAACCAGGTCTAAACCAGGACTAAACCAGGTCTAAACCAGAACTAAACCAGGACTAAACCAGGACTAAACTAGAACTAAACCAGGACTAAACTAGAACTAAACCAGGACCAAACCAGCACTAAACCAGGTCTAAACCAGGTCTAAACCAGGTCTAAACCAGGTCTAAACCAGGTTTAAACCAGGTTTAAACCAGGTTTAAACCAGGTCTAAACCAGGTCTAAACCAGGACTAAACCAGGACTAAACCAGGTCTAAACCAGGACTAAACCAGGACTAAACTAGAACTAAACCAGGACTAAACTAGAACTAAACCAGGACCAAACCAGCACTAAACCAGGTCTAAACCAGGTCTAAACCAGGTCTAAACCAGGTCTAAACCAGGTCCAAACCAGGACTAAACCAGGACTAAACCAGGTTTAAACCAGGACTAAACCAGGACTAAACTAGAACTAAACCAGGACCAAACCAGGACTAAACCAGGACTGAACCAGGTCTAAACCAGGTCTAAAGCAGGACTAAACCAGGTCTAAACCAGGTCTAAACCAGGACTAAACCAGGTTTAAACCAGGACTAAACCAGGTTTAAAACCAGGTTCAAACCAAGTCTAAATCAGAACTAAACCAGGACTAAATCAGGACTAAACCAGGTCTAAACAGGGAATAAACTAGACTATTCTATCCTTTTTATAACTATCTCAAGTCCCTGAACATCTCCGTGTCGTGACTTTAATCCATCTTTACCTTTTTCTCCTCTTCCTCCCATCGCCTTAAAAGTGGATTATAATGATCCAAACGCTCGTCGTAATTAAAAACACGTGAATTCAGAGTTAACGAAGCTTAAGATGGAAGCTCCTGGTCTGAAGGTGATGAGAACAGATCCACAAAATGAAGCTGCCCGTGGTTTTCAAACATGTCAAAAGTGTAAAAAAATAAAAATAAAAAATCCAGATACAAAAATCTGAACGAGATCAGCTCTGATTAGAAATACATTTTACTAAACCAGGACTAAACCAGGACTAAACCAGGTCTAAACCAGGTCTAAACCAGGACTAAACCAGGTCTAAACCAGGTCTAAACCAGGACTGAACCAGAACTACATCAGGACTACATCAGGACTACACTAGGACTAAACTAGAACTAAACTAAGACTACACCTGTACTGAACCAGAACTAAATCGTGGTCACACCAGGACTTTAGACCCTGATTTAGACCTGGTTTAGATTTGGTTTATTCCTGGTTTAGTCCTGGGTTTAGTCCTGCTTTAGTCCTGTTTTAGTCCTGCTTTAGTCCTGTTTTCGTCCTGTTTTAGTCCTGCTTTTAGTCCTGTTTTCGTCCTGTTTTAGTCCTGTTTTAGTCCTGCCCTGTCTTTAGTCCTGTCCTTTTAGTCCTGTTTTAGTCCTGTTTAGTCCTGTTTAGTCCTGTTTTAGTCCTGCTTTAGTCCTGCGTTTAGTCCTGCCTGCTTTTAGTCCTGCTTTAGTCCTGTTTCCTTTTAGTCCTGCTTTAGTCCTGTTTAGTCCTGCCTTTAGTCCTGTTTAGTCCTGCCTGGTCCTGTTTAGTCCTGCCTGTTTTAGTCCTGTTTTCCTGCCTTTTAGTCCTGTCCTGCTTTAGTCCTGTTTTAGTCCTGCTTTAGTCCTGCTTTAGTCCTGGTTTAGTCCTGTTTAGTTTAGTCCTGTTTCCTGCCTTTTAGTCCTGTTTAGTCCTGCCTGCCTTTTAGTCCTGTAGTCCTGTTTAGTCCTGTTTTAGTCCTGTTTTAGTCCTGTCCTTTTAGTCCTGTTTTAGTCCTGTTCCTGCTTTAGTCCTGCTTTAGTCCTGTTTAGTCCTGTTTAGTCCTGCCTGCCTTTTAGTCCTGTCCTTTTAGTCCTGGTCCTTAGTCCTGGTCCTGGTTTAGTCCTGTTGTTGTAGTCCTGTTTTAGTCCTGCTTTACCTGCCTTTTAGTCCTGCCCTGGTTGTAGTCCTGTTTCTCCTCGTGGTCGGACAGGGGCACTCCGGCTCCGTCTCAAACCTCCCGGTCAGTCTGTGGACTTAATTATTTTAAACAAAGACCAAACTTTTCAAATCATAAAAATGAACTTTGGGTCTCATCACTTTTAATCTGCTGCTCAAACAGAAGAGACGCTTCACTTGTTCAATTATAACTTCAGTCCATCTCCACCAGCAGAGACACTTTTTCAGTATGAGGTTTAAACACAAAACTTCAGAATCTGACGTTTAAAATGTTCAAAATGACACGAAATTACGTTAAATATTCATATAAAAAATCCTCCATCGCACAGAACCGCCTCTTTAAGTCTTGTTCTAATGTCGTTTCCTCGTCAAAAAAACAGACCTGGAGCTGCGTTTTGTTTCATTCCAACTCTTATTGTTCGTCTGTCGGGGACCAGAGTAATCAGAGTACAAATGATGAGTAACTGTATTCAGTTACAGTTACTGTTTCAGTGAGTGGGAATTGGATTACAGTTACTTTGTTGAAGTAAATGGATTACACAGAGGGATTTTACTGTTTTCACATTTTGGGCTAAATCCCTTTTTTTCCCCCCGTAATTCCACTTATTGTTGGACACTAAACCAGGTCTAAATCAGAACTAAACCAGGTCTAAAACCAGGTCTAAACCAGGTCTAAAACCAGGTCTAAGACAGGTTTAAAACCAGGTCTAAACCAGGTCTAAAACCAGGACTAAACCAGGACTAAACCAGGTCTAAACCAGGTCTAAAACCAGGTCTAAGACAGGTTTAAAACCAGGTCTAAACCAGGTCTAAAACCAGGACTAAACCAGGACTAAACCAGGACTAAACCAGGACTAAACCAGGTCTAAACCAGGACTAAACCAGGTCTAAAACCAGGACTAAACCAGGTCTAAAACCAGGTTCAAACCAAGTCTAAATCAGAACTAAACCAGGACTAAACCAGGTCTAAAACCAAGTCCAAACCAGGTCTAAACCAGGTCTAAAACCAGGTCTAAAACCAAGTCCAAACCAGGTCTAAACCAGGTCTAAAACCAGGTCCAAACCAGGTCTAAACCAGGTCTAAACCAGGTCCAAACCAAGTTTAAACCAGGTCTAAAACCAGGTCCAAACCAGGTCCAAACCAGGTTTAAAGGAGGACTAAACCAGGTCTAAAACCAGGTCTAAATCAGGTCTAAACCAAGTCTAAATCAGAACTAAACCAGGACTAAACCAGGTCTAAAACCAAGTCCAAACCAGGTCTAAACCAGGTCTAAAGCCAGGTCTAAAACCAGGTCTAAAACCAGGTCTAAAACCAGGTCTAAACCAGGTCTAAACCAGGTCTAAACCAGGTCCAAACCAAGTTTAAACCAGGACTAAACCAGGACTAAACCAGGACCAAACCAGGTCTAAAACCAGGTCCAAACCAGGTCCAAACCAGGACTCAAACAGGATTTAACAGGACTAAATCCTGCTGTGTGGACGTGTTTCTTCTTCTTCTATCAATAATATTTTTTAATTTGGTTCAGTAAAGTCTGGACTTTTTATTTTCTTTTATCAGACAAAACTTCTTATGTGAAGATTTCCTCGTCTTTGTTTCTCTACAGCAAATCAAGTAATCCAAAGTAATCAGATTACATTACTCACTTTAAGTAATTTAATGGATTATGTTACAAACTACATTTTGGTGTGTATGTAATCTGTAATCATCCAAATGATTCTAAGTGAAGGTGTGCGGAGATTACTTTTTTTTTGAGTTAGGGGTTCGTCTCCTGCTCGTTTCTATGGATACGTCACTGCTCTGCCTGAATGTTCCGCAGTGTGACATTAAACAGCTCAACTTTACATTTATTCATTTACAGGTGGTTTTAAAGCTCAAAAATACCTAGAAAAACTGAAAAAAAAAACATTCTGCCTGTGAGCGGGATCGCCTCTCCACAGACCTGGCCTGTAGCTTTGGTCTCCGTGAAGATAGAAAGGTTTAATGCCGTACTGTGAAACATTCCAGACAAAGCAACAGCATCACCACGGAGAAAAGCGTCTGATGGATCCTTCACCAGAAACGTTACACAATGCACCTTTAATATATATTAAAAAAATAATAATAATAATAAATAAAAATAAATAAAATAAAATAAAACAAAACAATATAAAAAAAAAAATAATAATAATACTTTTTTTTTTTTAAACAAATTAAAATTGAAATAAAAAAAATAATAATAAAAATAAATTAAACATTGTCGAAAAGTCTAATGAGAAAATGAGCGGAAAATTAACTTCCAGAACCAGAGTGACCTGGAATAGTCCTTTTCAGATCTTTATTTGGTACTTGGTGTGAAAGTTTGGGAGCCACTGGTTTAATATATTAAAGACTTGGTTTAGACCTGGTTTAGACCTGGTTTAGACCTGGACTGGGACTCCTGGACAGCAGATTAAGATCTGGTCAAAGGTCAAACATTTTCCGAGAAGACAATTTACGTAAAAAGTCTTAAAATATTAATATTACAGCCAGATCTCATTTAATTTTTACATTGATTTACCTGGAATGTTCCGCAGTGTGACTTTAAACAGCTCTACTTTACATTTGTTCATTTACAGGTGGTTTTAAAGCTCAAAAATATCTCAAAAAACTGAAAAAAAAATCTGACTGTGAGCGGGATCGCCTCTCCACAGACCTGGCCTGTAACTTGGTCTGCTTTGGTCTCCGTGAAGATAGAAAGGTTTAATGCCGTACTGCGAAACATTCCAGACAAAGCAACAGCATCACCATGGAGAAAAGCGTCTGATGGATCCTTCACCAGAAACGTTACACAATGCACCTTTAATATATAAAAAAAATAATAATAATAATAAATAAAATAAATAAATAAATAAATAAAATAAAACAAAACAATATAAATCAAAAAAATAATAATAATACTTAAAAAAAATGAAAATTAATTAAAATTGAAATACAAAAAAAATAATAAATAAATAAATTAAACATTGTCGAAAAGTCTAATGAGAAAATTAGCAGAAAATTTACTTCCAGAACCAGAGTGACCTGGAATAGTCAAAAAAAAACAAAAAAACAAATCATGTAAATGTGGCATGTTATCGCGTTAAACTTTTCTATCTTCAGGGAGACCAAACCAGACCAAGTTCCGGGTCAGGTCTGTGGAGAGGCGACCCCGCTCACGGACAGAATGTCTGTTTTTCCGGGTATTTTTGATTTATTAAACCACCTGTAATTGAACAAATATAAGGTAGAAGAACAGTTTAATGTCACGCTGTGGAATATTACAGCCGGAGAAATGACGTATCCATAGAAACAAACAGGTGACGGACCCCACAACCGAAAAGTTACACAGTGCAGCTTTACCGCTTGTTCCCAGTTTGGTCCAGGTTTCGCTCCGACTCTAAAATATTCACAAAACCTCCTCAGCTCTCTGACCTGTCTCCAGTCACCGCGGTTCAGCTGGTCCGGTTTGGGTTCCGTCCGGTTCTGGTTCTGGTTCGGTCCCGGGTCTTGGTCCTGGAGCAGGATCTCCTGTAGCTCCGCCCACTGGAAGCCCGACTCCTGGAGCTGCCGCCTCTGCTGCTGAAGACGGCGAGAGGAGGAGAGAGAGAGAGACGTCATGATTCATTTAGAGGAAAGAGGAGGGACCGGGGAGCGGCGTTACTAATGCAGCACACTTATGTAACAGCTGCAACCATTCACATCAAGGTTCCAGTTTTTTATTCTTTAGTTTTGACCAAAGCGCATTCAAAACGTTTGATTGACGTGTGTGTCCACCTTTGGGAGAAGAACAGCTGAACACACTCGTGACTCGTTCTTTTTACAACACAAATCACATATTGTGCAGAAGTAGGGATGGGCATGATTAGTCGATTAATCGATAATTGATCATTAAGAATTTCATCGATTACGTTCATTTTAATCGACAAACTGAATGTATGTTGCTGTGTGTGTCGTGACCAAACAGGTGTGTACATGTGTCTCTGCATCAGAAGGAGCGAGACACAAACACAAACAGTCAGTCAGTCTGCAACAAAGAACAAATGTGGATTTAACGATGATTTGGACAAGAAATTCCACACTTTCCGTTGCGTTGGGACAAGTGTGAGTCCATGTGCACAGTGTATAAAGCAGCACATATGTTTCTGTGTCCAGTGGGAAAAAAGTTTTACCAGGTGAGAGTCGCTCAATGTGGATGACGAGGCCCGCCCCCTCCCCCGTACGCTGTCCTGGTTTTGACAAACACAAATCTGGTCACACTGACCTGTATTCACCTGAGTCATGTCTTTTAATCCAACAGAAATTGAACCACATCAGCGACACAAGAGCTGGAGTTTTATCTTCACTTAGTTTATGTAAATTAGTGATGCAGTTTTAAGTTTCGTTTCTGTGAGATTTGAACAAAACTGAATTAAACACATCCATCCATTTTCGTCCGCTTATCCGGGGCCGGGTCGCGGGGGCAGCAGTCTAAGCAGGGACTCCCAGACTTCCTTCACCCCAGACACGTCCTCCAGCTCCTCCGGGGGAATCCCGAGGTGTTCCCAGGCCAGCCCAGAGACATAGTCCTCCAGTGTGTCCTGGGTCTTCCCCGGGGCCTCCTCCCGGTGGGACATGCCCGGAACACCTCCCGAGGGAGGCGTCCAGGAGGCATCCGGAACAGATGCCGAGCCTCAACTGGCTCCTCTCGACGTGGAGGAGCAGCGGCTCTACTCCGAGCTCCTCCCGTGTGACTGAGCTCCTCACCCTGTCTCTAAGGGAGACGCCCAGACACCCTGCGGAGGAAACTCATTTCAAGCGCTTGTATCCGTGATCTTGTCCTTTCGGTCACTACCCAGAGTCATGACCAGAGGTGAGAGTAGGAACGAAGACTGACGGTAAATCGAGAGCTTCGCCTTTCGGCTCAGCTCCTCTTCACCACAACGGTCCGATACAGCGACCGCATCACTGCACTGAATTAAACACATTATAATGTCAAACGGGCTGATGTGGCTCTAGAGTCGTTACGGTTTATATGTCGTAAAGTTGAATTTATTTATGCAGATTAGTGCAGATAGTAATAATAATGATGATCATTTTAATATAAAAACGTAAATTCTTCCGATGATCGATTAAGAAAATTTCATCGAATGCCCATCCCTATGCAGAAGTTTCCATAAATGTGTGGCACTTGTCAGTCACTTCGCTCTTCTGTCCAGTTCATCCCAAACCAGCTCCACGGGGTTTAAGTCTGGACACTGTGCTGCTGCTGCTGCTGCTGCTGCTGCTGGACACTCCAGGTTTTCAAGTTTTACCATCTTGTTCTTATTTCCTGAGGTAGTTTTGGCAGAGCTTGTATTTCTGTTTTGTTCTTGGGTCTGGTCAAGTGTTAACGGAGGAAACAGGGGCAGATTTTTTACATTCAAATGTCTCTTATTCAGAAACTAGAGGAACTATTGAAATAAGTAAAGTATCAGAATGTAGGAAAGAGTTACACTCCAACAGGGTCAAGTTAAACCTGTGAGATTCTTTCAAGTTGTTGACAAAAAATTTTAAAAACTCATGTCGGTAACGGAGGGAATGAAATATGCAGCACTTTTTGGTCAATAAATCCAAAACAGTGATAACTCTTGGTTCTCACTTACATATCCTTAACAAACTGGTTTGAATATTTGCTTCATATAGTTTTCTACCATATGGTACAAGATTAGGTTGAAAAACCTCAGACTTTTTGACTCATGAGATTTTTTTTAAGAAAGTTCATGGTAACGGAGGGAAAGTAACGAGGGAAAATTGTACAAACAAGTAGAAGGTGCAGGATTTTACATCATTTGTTGCTTTTTTCTTCTGAATATTTTAATATTACTTCAAAATGAAATGAAACTATTTCTATAAAATATGTCAGTCCTTCCAAGAACATTTTTATCATTTTAAATTTAATTTTTTTTTTAAATCATGTCCCTTCATCAACAGTTCAAAGATGGAATAACACAAGATATGATGAAATACATCCATTTATTTAAAGGATTTTTGGGTCTTTGAAATTTGGAAATAAAATTTTTGTTCCATGTTTCATACATGGTCTGTTTAAAACATATGGAACTTTAGAACCAAAAATGGAACAGAAAAAAGGTGAACAGTTTGATAAACTAGAGCACATATGTATCTGTTCAATACTGTTTTATATCAGATGCATTAACTTGAAGTTTTGGCCTTGTTGTTTACTTCTGTTTGACCAGGACCTCTTTTATCTGTTTTTTTAACCATTGTCTGTTCAGTTTTTACCTTTGTACATTTCAAGCTCTTCATTGGACTTGCACGACTTGAATTGCAAAAAATAACTGGAAAAATGACGGTGTTCTAGAACTTTTGACCAAAAGTGTGTTTACGTTGCAGCCGCCGAGCCGATCGCCTCTTGATGGTTTTTATGTCATAAATATACTAACGTCACTCCCTAGAGGACTCCCACTCCCTAGAGGATTTTTTCTCCTGTTCGTCCAAAACGCGCATCAGGGGAGTCTGAACTCAAATGCAAAGGCGTCAAACTAGAGGCATCCGGCGCGTCTTTTTGACACCGCCGTCTGAACGCAGCTTTATTCCTCCGGACTCCATCCCTCCTCGGACCTCTCCTGTCCTCGTTTCTCTCTCTTTTTCAGTCGTACCTCTTGTATCCGGTGTCTTTGCTCCTGTTGCTGCTGGAGTCGTCTCTCTTTCTCTGAGGCCAGCTGCTGTTTGTATCTCTCCTGCTCCTGTCTCTGCACCTGCACAAAGACAAACACACTTCATACAGAGGGAATAAAACACACATGTCCTCATAGATTATATTTACTTTCTCTCTGAAGAACATTGCCTCGAAGAATTTCACTCTGTTTGACTTTGTGCGGGGACTCAACCCCAATTCACACCAAAGCGCAACGGGACGTAAGCGCAGTAGCACAGCACACGAGCAGCAGACGCGCAGCTCTAGACTTCCATTTTAACCGGTCTGACCGTGACACCGACAGTGTCATACGCACGTCCAACGAGCGTCTCCAAGGTTTTTATCAGGGGAATAATCACGCGGTGTCAAAATAAACTTCCGATGCCCTTTCAAAATAACTTAACCAAAGTCAAGACAACGACATAAACAACACAGCTCTGTGTCCAAGGAAATGTTAAAGGTTGTACAGAGGATTTTTTTAAGGGAAGAGAAATACAGCGACAGTCCTTGTGCGCGTTCAGAATTACTGTTGAAGTTTCCTGTCTAGAAGTAATTCAGCGACCGACGAGTCATTTTTTGGACCCTCCGTCTGCTTCGGTCGCGCCATCGCTGGACGAGATCTCCAAGAATCACCTCAGTTTGGCTTTGCTCCTTTTCCTCTTCTCTTCTTCTTTCGCGACCTCAAAAACGGACTTTCTTTTGCGGCGAACCGGTCGTGGGATCTCGTCCGCCGTCGCGACAAACTTTGTGCGAAATGCGACGAAGCGACAGTTCGAAAAAGCCTCTAAGAACCGCTGCGTAAACCACGTAATCCCCGCGCTCCGACGAGTCAGTTACACTAGGGAGTTTGATTGACAACCCAACAGCCAATAGAAAATGAGGGAGCCTCGTTTTCTATTGGCTGATGTTTATCTGGCCTCAACACGTCACAGTTGATAGATTTTCATTCTTTTTTTTTTTTTGGTTCATCATAATTACAAAAGCTGCTGCGTCTCTGTAATGGTATTTTAATCTTTCACTGACAGTTTGAAACTAAAAAAAAAATCCTCCATACAACCTTTAAAGGGATAGTTCAGGATTTTTGACATGAATCTGTGTGTCATCCCCGTGAGCAGTGTCGCGCATCAACACTGACTTACCCCCCGAAAGCGCCCGGTGAGCCGAGATCGTGACCGGTTTTGGTGCTGAGGAAAGTAGTTCGGCAAGTTGTGTGGGGACTGTATACTAAAGCGTTTTTCTTCTCAAAGCAATATGTGTTCAAAAGAGTGACACATTTGCATCACAAAACCACCGTCGCCAAAAAAGTCAGATCTGAGGAAGGATTTGAGGAGCGCTGGGGCTTTGGGGGGGTGTTGGCCTCTGTAAAGGAGGTTTTTGTAAATAGTGTAAATAGTGTAAATAGTATGTGTATGTAATGTCAATATTTTTATGTAAATAGGACGAGGTGTGGATGCAATTTAGTGTAAATGTTTTTTGACAGACACAATAAAGGTCTGTTAAAAATCAAATCTCTCTCTCTCTTCTCTCTTCTCTCTCCTCTTCTTTTTCTTTCTCTCTCTCACTGTGGTCGTATCTGCCCTGGGACGTCTCTCTCTCTTCTCTCTTCTCTCTCCTCTTCTTTTTCTTTCTCTCTCTCACCTTGGTCGTATCTGCCCTGGGACGTCTCTCTCTCTTCTCTCTTCTCTCTCCTCTTCTTTTTCTTTCTCTCTCTCACCTCGGTCGTATCTGCCCTGGGACGTTTCTCTCTTCTCTCTTCTCCTCTTTTTCTTTCTCTCTCTCACCTGTGGTGCGTATCTGCCCTGGGACGTCTCTTCTCTCTCTTCTCTCCTCCTCTTCTTTCTTTTCTCTCTCTCACTGTGGTCGTATCTGCCCTGGACGTCTCTCTCTCTCTCTCTCTCTCCTCCTCTTTTTCTTTCTCTCTCTCACTGTGGTCGTATCTGCCCTGGCGTCTCTCTCTCTTCTCTCTCTCTCTCCTCTTCTTTTCTTTCTCTCTCTCACCTGTGGCGTATCTTGCCCCTGGGACGTCTCCTCTCTCTCTCTCTCTTCTCTCTCCTTTCCTTTTTCTTCTCTCTCTCACCTGTGGTCGTATCTGCCCTGGACGTCTCTCTCTCTCTCTTCTCTCTCTCCCTCCTCTTTTTCTTTCTCTCTCACCTGTGGTCGTATGCCCTGGGACGTCTCTCTCTCTCTCTTCTCTCTTCCTCCTCTTTTCTTTCTCTCTCTCACCTGTGGTCGTATCTGCCCTGGGACGTCTCTCTCTCTCTTCTCTCTCCTCCTCTTTTTCTTTCTCTCTCTCACCTGTGGTCGTATCTGCCCTGGGACGTCTCTCTCTCTCTCTTCTCTCTCCTCCTCTTTTCTTTCTCTCTCTCACCTGTGGTCGTATCTGCCCTGGGACGTCTCTCTCTCTCTCTCTCTCTCTCTCTTTTTCTTTCTCTCTCTCACTGTGGTCGTATCTGCCCTGGGACGTCTCTCTCCTCTCTTCTCTCTCCTCCTCTTTTCTTTCTCTCTCTCTCACCTGTGGTCGTATCTGCCCTGGGACGTCTCTCTCTCTCTCTCTTCTCTCTCCTCCTCTTTTCTTTCTCTCTCTCACCTGTGGTCGTATCTGCCCTGGGACGTCTCTCTCTCTCTCTCTTCTCTCTCCTCTCTTTTTCTTTCTCTCTCTCACCTGTGGTCGTATCTGCCCTGGGACGTCTCTCTCTCTTCTCTCTCCTCCTCCTCTTTTTCTTTCTCTCTCTCACCTGTGGTCGTATCTGCCCTGGGACGTCTCTCTCTCTCTCTTCTCTCTCTCCTCCTCTTTTTCTTTCTCTCTCTCACCTGTGGTCGTATCTGCCCTGGGACGTCTCTCTCTCTTCTTCTCTCTCCTCCTCTTTTTCTTTCTCTCTCTCACCTGTGGTCGTATCTGCCCTGGGACGTCTCTCTCTCTCTCTCTTCTCTCTCCTCTCTTTTTCTTTCTCTCTCTCACCTGTGGTCGTTATCTGCCCTGGACGTCTCTCTCTCTCTCTCTCTCTCCTCCTCTTTTTCTTTCTCTCTCTCACCTGTGGTCGTATCTGCCCTGGGACGTCTCTCTCTCTCTCTTCTCTCTCCTCCTCTCTTTTTCTTTCTCTCTCTTCACCTGTGGTCGTATCTGCCCTGGGACGTCTCTCTCTCTCTCTCTCTCTCCTCTCTCCTCTTTTTTCTTTCTCTCTCTCACCTGTGGTCGTATCTGCCCTGGGACGTCTCTCTCTCTCTTCTTCTCTCTCTCCTCCTCTTTTTCTTTCTCTCTCTCTCACCTGTGGTCGTATCTGCCCTGGGACGTCTCTCTCTCTCTCTCTCTCTCTCTCCTCCTCTTTTTCTTTTCTCTCTCTCACCTTGTGGTCGTATCTGCCCCTGGGACGTCTCTCTCTCTCTCTTCTCTCTCCTCCTCTTTTTCTTTCTCTCTCTCACCTGTGGTCGTATCTGCCCTGGGACGTCTCTCTCTCTCTCTCTCTTCTCTCTCCTCTTCTTTTCTTTCTCTCTCTCACCTGTGGTCGTATCTGCCCTGGGACGTCTCTCTCTCTCTCTTCTCTCTCTCCTCCTTTTTTCTTTTCTCTCTCTCACCTGTGGTCGTATCTGCCCTGGGACGTCTCTCTCTCTCTCTTCTCTCTCCTCCTCTTTTTCTTTCTCTCTCTCACCTGTGGTCGTATCTGCCCTGGGACGTCTCTCTCTCTTCTCTCTCTCTCCTCTTCTTTTTCTTTCTCTCTCTCACCTGTGGTCGTATCTGCCCTGGACGTCTCTCTCTCTCTTCTCTCCTCCTCTTTTCTTCTCTCTCTCACCTGTGGTCGTATCTGCCCTGGGACGTCTCTCTCTCTCTTCTCTCTCTCCTCCTCTTTTTCTTTCTCTCTCTCACCTGTGGTCGTATCTGCCCTGGGACGTCTCTCTCTTTTCTCTCTCTTCTCTCTTCCTCCTCTTTTTCTTTCTCTCTCTCACCTGTGGTCGTATCTGCCCTGGGACGTCTCTCTCTCTTCTCTCTCCTCCTCCTCTTTCTTCTCTCTCTCACCTGTGGTCGTATCTGCCCTGGGACGTCTCTCTCTCTCTTCTCTCTCCTCCTCTTTTTCTTTCTCTCTCTCACCTGTGGTCGTATCTGCCCTGGGACGTCTCTCTCTCTCTCTTCTCTCCTCCTCTTTTTCTTTCTCTCTCTCACCTGTGGTCGTATCTGCCCTGGGACGTCTCTCTCTCTTCTCTCTCTCCTCCTCCTCTTTTTCTTTCTCTCTCTCACCTGTGGTCGTATCTGCCCTGGGACGTCTCTCTCTCTTCTCTCTCTCCTCCTCTTTTTCTTTCTCTCTCTCACCTGTGGTCGTATCTGCCCTGGGACGTCTCTCTCTCTCTTCTCTCTTCTCTCTCCTCTTCTTTTTCTTTCTCTCTCTCACCTGTGGTCGTATCTGCCCTGGGACGTCTCTCTCTCTTCTCTCTCTCTCCTCTTTTTCTTTCTCTCTCTCACCTGTGGTCGTATCTGCCCTGGGACGTCTCTCTCTCTCTCTCTCTCCTCCTCCTCTTTTTCTTTCTCTCTCTCACCTGTGGTCGTAATCTGCCCTGGGACGTCTCTCTCTCTCTCTCTTCTCTCTCCTCCTCTTTTTCTTTCTCTCTCTCACCTGTGGTCGTATCTGCCCTGGGACGTCTCTCTCTCTTCTCTCTTCTCTCTCTCTCTCTCTTTTTCTTTCTCTCTCTCACCTGTGGTCGTATCTGCCCTGGGACGTCTCTCTCTCTCTTCTCTCTCCTCCTCTTTTTCTTTCTCTCTCTCACCTGTGGTCGTATCTGCCCTGGGACGTCTCTCTCTCTCTCTCTCTCCTCCTCTTTTTCTTTCTCTCTCTCACCTGTGGTCGTATCTGCCCTGGGACGTCTCTCTCTCTCTTCTTCTTCTCTCTCCTCTTCTTCTTTTCTTTCTCTCTCTCACCTGTGGTCGTATCTGCCCTGGGACGTCTCTCTCTCTTCTCTCTTCTCTCTCCTCCTCTTTTTCTTTCTCTCTCTCACCTGTGGTCGTATCTGCCCTGGGACGTCTCTCTCTTCTCTCTTCTCTCTCCTCCTCTTTTTCTTTCTCTCTCTCACCTGTGGTCGTATCTGCCCTGGGACGTCTCTCTCTCTCTTCTCTCCTCCTCTTTTTCTTTCTCTCTCTCCTGTGGTCGTATCTGCCCTGGGACGTCTCTCTCTCTCTTCTCTCTCCTCCTCTTTTTCTTTCTCTCTCTCACCTGTGGTCGTATCTGCCCTGGGACGTCTCTCTCTCTCTCTTCTCTCTCTCCTCTTTTTCTTTCTCTTCTCTCACTGTGGTCGTATCTGCCCTGGGACGTCTCTCTCTTTCTCTTCTCTCTCTCTCTCCTCTTTTTCTTTCTCTCTCTCACCTGGGTCGTTCTGCCCTGGGACGTTTCTCTCTCTTCTCTCTCTCTCCTCTTTTTCTTTCTCTCTCTCACCTGTGGTCGTATCTGCCCTGGGACGTCTCTCTCTCTTCTCTCTCTCCTCCTCTTTTTCTTTCTCTCTCTCACCTGTGGTCGTATCTGCCCTGGGACGTCTCTCTCTCTCTCTTCTCTCTCCTCCTCTTTTTCTTTCTCTCTCTCACCTGTGGTCGTATTGCCCTGGGACGTCTCTCTCTCTCTCTCTTCTCTCTCCTCCTCTTTTCTCTTTCTCTCTCTCACCTGTGGTCGTATCTGCCCTGGGACGTCTCTCTCTCTTCTCTCTTCTCTCTCCCTCTCTTTTTCTTTCTCTCCCTCACCTGTGGTCGTATCTGCCCTGGACGTCTCTCTCTCTTCTCTCTCTCTCTCTCTCCTCTTCTTTCTCTTTCTCTCTCTCACCTGTGTCGTATCTGCCCTGGGACGTCTCTCTCTCTTCTCTCTTCTCTCTCCTCCTCTTTTTCTTTCTCTCTCACCTGTGGTCGTATCTGCCCTGGGACGTCTCTCTCTTCTCTCTTCTCTCTCCTCCTCTTTTTCTTTCTCTCTCTCACCTGTGGTCGTATCTGCCCTGGGACGTCTCTCTCTCTCTTCTCTCCTCCTCTTTTTCTTTCTCTCTCTCCTGTGGTCGTATCTGCCCTGGGACGTCTCTCTCTTCTCTCTTCTCTCTCCTCCTCTTTTTCTTTCTCTCTCTCACCTGTGGTCGTATCTGCCCTGGGACGTCTCTCTCTCTCTCTCTTCTCTCTCCTCTTCTTTTTCTTTCTCTCTCCACCTGTGGTCGTATCTGCCCTGGGACGTCTCTCTCTCTCTTCTCTCTTCTCTCCTCTTCTTTTTCTTTCTCTCTCTCACCTGTGGTCGTATCTGCCCTGGGACGTCTCTCTCTCTCTCTTCTCTCTCCTCCTCTTTTTCTTTCTCTCTCTCACCTGTGGTCGTATCTGCCCTGGGACGTCTCTCTCTCTTCTCTCTTCTCTCTCCTCCTCCTCTTTTTCTTTCTCTCTCTCACCTGTGGTCGTATCTGCCCTGGGACGTCTCTCTCTCTCTCTCTCTTCTCTCTCCTCCTTCTTTTTCTTTCTCTCTCTCACCTGTGGTCGTATCTGCCCTGGGACGTCTCTCTCTTCTTCTCTCTTCTCTCTCTCCTCTTTTCTTTCTCTCTCTCACCTGTGGTCGTATCTGCCCTGGGACGTCTCTCTCTCTCTCTTCTCTCCTCCTCTCTTTTTCTTTTCTCTCTCTCACCTGTGGTCGTATCTGCCCTGGGACGTCTCTCTCTCTTCTCTCTCTCTCCTCTTCTTTTTCTTTCTCTCTCTCACCTGTGGTCGTATCTGCCCTGGGACGTCTCTCTCTCTCTCTTCTCTCTCTCCTCCTCTTTTTCTTTCTCTCTCTCACCTGCGGTCGTATCTGCCCTGGGACGTCTCTCTCTCTTCTCTCTCCTCCTCTTCTTTTTCTTTCTTCTCTCTCACCTGTGGTCGTATCTGCCCTGGGACGTCTCTCTCTCTCTTCTCTCTCCTCCTCTTTTTCTTTCTCTCTCTCACCTGTGGTCGTATCTGCCCTGGGACGTCTCTCTCTTTTCTCTCTCTTCTCTCTCCTCCTCTTTTTCTTTCTCTCTCTCACCTGTGGTCGTATCTGCCCTGGGACGTCTCTCTCTTCTCTCTCTTCTCTCTCTCCTCCTCTTTTTCTTTCTCTCTCTCACCTGCGGTCGTATCTGCCCCGGGGCGTCTCCTCCTCTGTTCCTGTCTTCCGTCTGCAGCCGGAGGAACTCTCTCCTTAACGTCCACTCCCCGGGAACGTTCACGATGGAGCTGCGGACATCGAGAGACGAAGATGAAGAGACGAAGATGAAAAAAAAAAAAAAAAACACACACACACACAAACCGATAGAAGAGAAGAGAGAAGAGAGAGAGAGAGAGAGAAGAGAGAGAAGAGAGAGAGAAGAGAACCGCACACACAAACGACGCTCCGGTTCAGACGCGAGGAGGGAGGAGCTCGGACCATCTGCTGTTTAACCCAAACGCCGAACACAGGAACTTATGTAACACACGGAGGAATATATTAAACTCATCCTATACACAGACTAAACCAGGACTAAACCAGGACTAAACCAGGACTAAACCAGGACTAAACCAGGACTAAAACAGGACTGAACCAGGACTAAACCAGGACTAAACCAGGACTAAACCAGGACTAAACCAGGACTGAACCAGGACTAAACCAGGACTAAACCAGGACTAAACCAGGACTAAACCAGGACTAAACCAGGACTAAACCAGGACTGGACTAAACCAGGACTGAAAGGACTGAACCAGGACTAAACCAGGACTGAACCAGGACTAAACCAGGACCTAAACCAGGACTGAAAGGACCAGGACTAAAACCAGGACTAAACCAGGACTAAACCAGGACTAAACCAGGACTGAACCAGGACTAAACCAGAACCAGGACTAACCAGGACCCAGGACTGACTGAAAAACCAGGACTAAACCAGGACTGAACCAGGACTGAACCAGGACTGGAACCAGGACTGAAACCAGGACTAAACCAGAACCAGGACTGAACCAGGACTGAAACCAGGACTAAACCAGGACTGAACCAGGACTAAAACCAGGACTAAACCAGGACTAAACCAGGACTAAACCAGGACTGAAACAGGACTAAACCAGGACTAAACCAGGACTGAACCAGGACTAAACCAGGACTAAACCAGGACTGAACCAGGACTAAACCAGGACTAAACCAGGACTAAAACAGGACTAAACCAGGACTAAACCAGGACTGAACCAGGACTGAACCAGGACTAAACCAGGACTAAAACAGGACTAAACAGGACTAAACCAGGACTAAACCAGGACTGAACCAGGACTAAAACAGGACTAAAACAGGACTGAACCAGGACTAAACCAGGACTGAACCAGGACTGAAACCAGGACTAAACCAGGACTAAACCAGGACTAAAACAGGACAGGACTAAAACCAGGACTAAAACGAACCAGGACTAAACCAGGACTGAAGGACTGAACCAGGACTAAACCAGGACTAACCCAGGACTGAAACCAGGACTAAACAGGACTAAACAAAAAGGACTAAACCAGGACTGAACCAGGACTAAATCAGGACCAGGACTAAACCAGGACTAACCTGAGGACTGAAAGGACTCAGGACTGAAAGGACCAGGACTAGGACTGAAAACAAACCAGGACTGAACTAAACGGACGACTAAAAAAAACAGGACTAACGGACTGGACTAAATATGGACCGGACTAATGAATTAATCAATCGCAATTAACGCGATAATCTGACGCCCGTAATAAAAACGCGGCTCAAAATTACAAATGAAAAACAGTTTAGATGGAAAGTGTTTTACCTGGGCTCTCCTTCCTCCTCCGTGACCTCGTCTTCCTCGTCCTCACTGCCGCTGTACTCGTACTCCGGACCCTCTGGGAAAAACAAAAACGGAGAGTCAAATTAAGAAAGAGAAGAAAAAAAAATAATTAAAGCAGCATGTCTTAAGT